CCTCTGAGCTTACAGAAAAAGAGAGCGAGAGAGCAAAAGCGAGCGAGATAGACCAAGAAAGAGAAGTGTTGGGGGAGGAAGAGAGGGAGTAGCAGGAAAATGGGAGAAGAGGTGAAGGCAGAAAAGAGCAGGTGAGAGAAAGGAATAGAGATATGCTGTGACAGAATGAGAAAGGAAGAGAGAGTAGGAGGATGAGAGAAAGACCAAGGATCCCCTCCATCACATCAAACACCAGGCAGCACATGATGAAACGCTCCTTTTGCATTGCACACACAAACACACCTAAAAACAGATAACGTAGGTTAAACACAAAGAGAAAGAAAACCACAAAGAGATACAGCGCCTGCAGCGCGTCAAACATTGGCCGACACATGATTAAACACTTCGTTCTCTTTGTATTCCACATTAGTACACATCTAAAACTCTTGCACCCCTGGGTGCTCATAGGACCCTAGGCAGTTTTTACACAAACACACACGCACGCACACACAGTCTCTGATGCTTCCATGGTCAACCCTCCGCATGATCTGATTGGGCCTCTGCTTCTTGTTCTCCCTCTAATGTGCCAGATGTGATCTTCAATTCACTTTGTCTTATTATCCTGAGTTTGCACAACAGAGTCGCCGTCCGCCTGCCTGCTTGATAATGCCCATGCATGCTCCGATTATGTGCCAAATTCTGGGTTGTTTCCAAGCAACCCACATTAAGCTGCTACTGCTGTGAGGGAAATGAGGCTTCAAAGCTTTGAAGGGTGTTATTGGCTGTTTGAATGTGAGTATTTGAGAGAGAGAGTGTGTGTGTGTGTGTGTGTGTGTGTGTGTGTGTGTGTGTGTGTGTTTCATGTTCGGTGGGGACTTTAACCTGAATGCACACCAACACATGGAGAGTTGTGTCACAAGGTCCCCACAGGTAGTGACGCTTTTTGAGGCAAGACATTTTATTTAATGCTGCCTTTCATGGCACTCAAGGTCATCTTACATTAAATAAGATCAGTAATAAAAACATATAATTAACAAGCAGCAATAAGAAAACAAAGCATCTATAATAACGATATTGTAGTATAGACGCAGTAGATGCTATTAAAGTTAGCTTTAAGAACAGTTTTAATTTCTGAATAATCAACAAAAGTGGCCCTAACACTAAACCTTGTGGTACTCTGTGGTGAACTATGTAACTTTCTGATTAATAACAACTAAATGTGTACAAAATGTGTCCTGTCTGTGAGGTAGGAGGTGAAACACAGTGACCCTAACTCCAATTCTAGCCAGACAGTCCATGAGGAGCTGATGGGCTACAGTATCACAGTCTGCAATCAGGTCCAGGAGGATGAGGATGGAGAGTAGACCGGAGGAGGTTGTTGGTGATCTTAAGGGCAGTTTCTGTTCCACAGGACAGAGAGGATTTGATAATGAAGGACATCAGGGAAATGATAGCAAGAGGGTAAGCATGCTTAAACTATGGTTGTGGGGATTGGATCCAGGTGACATGTTGGACTTCGTAATAAGTTCAGAAATGTGATTTTCAGTTTGAAGACTGACGTCACATAGGACAGTCGATGTGGACAGCTTCATGGCACTTGCTGATTGTAAGTTGTCTGTGTGATGTTTGTGTAGCACACAGGAAGGATTATGGGTAGGGCAGTGGCTGCTGGAGCAAAGTGAGGTGTTTAAAAAGAGACTCAGGAGACCAAGAATTATAAGGTAATGCTGGCTTCTCGTATTTAAATATATATATAAAATTTAAAATTGGTTGGTACCAAAAATAAGAAATTACAATACTAAAACAATTATTAAACAAGGCAAATAGTGATATCACAATCAGGCTATGACATCAGCATAAAATGCTTACTTTCCAAACTTAAAGTGAGTATCTCACTCTCTGAAGTAGTTCTACTATTTACCTCCTGGGTGCACCCTTTAAACCTGAATTTTTGTTAATAAAAACCACATTCAAGTTTGCTCAGATCCAGTTCAATAGTACAATCCAGTACAATTCACACAGTACAACAGTAAATTGTCGTTAAATGCAGGAATGATTCCTACCACTCAGCTCCAAATCCTCAGTCCCAAGGTGGGAACAGGTGAGTTTGTTTAAGTGAATCCAAAGTCCAAATGAAAAAATGGATGTGTCAAAGGTAAGTCAGAGTATGTGTGTATGTGTGGGGTAAGGAAAGAGAGTGAAGATGAGTAAAAGGGGTTTTGTGTTGCAATGGGGATTGGCTCCCACAATCATTCAAGAAGGACGGCTCGCCATCAATTTTCATCCGCAGATCCGATCCAGACAATGGAAGAAGAATCACACACAACAAAAAAACCCTGACCTGTCAACAGACAGGGTCAGAGAAATATTCACTGCTTAAGTACCTCATGCAATAATGTACACTACATGAACTTCAAGATACACAATGATATGCACACTGTGGGTGTTTCCTGTCTGTGCTTTCCTCTCAATATTCAGCATATAAACATAAATAACTTGGCTGCACACAACCAAATAAGCTGCACAAATTAGCTGCACGTTAGAGCAAATAAAGTTTTGATGCAAGTGCAAAATAAAGTAAGCCGAGTTTACACATTGAACACATTGAATACACAGTAAACCAGCTCGTTCAACTAAAAATGTAGCTTCAAATTCACTAAGTGCACATAAATAATTTAAGGTGCACAGCAAGTTAATTTCTTAAGTTGAAAATGAACATTCTCACCGATTTCACCAGAGCGGCTGGACACACACACCCAAAATGGCGGCGCCCAGTAAAGCCACATGGTCTTCTGAAACCAAAACATACAAGACCGTATGCAACTTTCAGTACTTTCTCTCAGTGCAAAATAAATCTAACAAGTTAGCTTTTGTAGTAATGTGAAAAAGAATGAACAGAACAGTTTTAAATGAATTACCTCGCTGTGACTGTGCGTCGCGGGAAATCCCACAGACATCAAAGCTACCGAGGCTGCTAGAAGTCTCAAGCACTATATCTAAACACTGAATGTACAACTAAATTCTTACAGCAGTTAGCTACCACGTTTGTAGTGTTGAATTTAGCCTCAGTGTAGTCCGCACTAGTCTTAGTAAACTAACCTGTCTGTCTATTTTGCCCTGGTAACAGAATTTTAACCCTTTAAAACCCCTAGATAAGCTCTCAAGTTACATTTCAAGGATAAAATCACTCTCATACCGATTTTTATAGGGTTTTCCTATTTTTAAACCTAGATCACTTCATCTGTGTTACATTTGCAGCGGCCAGCTGCTCATGTAGTAATTTTGGAGTTGGTGGAGGTTTGTGTTGAACCACACAGCTTTATGAAGAGCGTGGTTTGCTTATCTAAACTAACTTAGGTCAAGCTGCTGAATTTAGCTGTAAGAAATCATAATGTGGCTGCCATGTATGGTTAGACATAAATAGTCTAGTTTGTGATCTGTGATGAAGTCATTGTCTAGAGGGGCTTTGTTCTCAATAGATCAGCTGTTGTAGAGTACAAACTTATGACAGGTTGTGTGTATTTATACAGATGATTTAGCTAGTGGAGTTAGCACACTGTAGTCTGTGCAGTCCATGTGCAGTTAGGGCGGGAGGCCTTGTGCCTCATAATGGTCTATACAGGTAAAATTCCCACTGAGAGGGTTTTTGACAGATGAGATCAGTGGAGGAAGCTAGCAGGGGGAACAGTCCTCTGAAGTTTGCCTGTAGGACGTGAGGGTGGGAACTAACGTGTGTATGGGAGAAAGTCAATAAAGATGGGCTATAAAGTAGTTGAAAGCACAAACACATATTTTTAATATCTTATTATGTTTGATTTCCTGACAGACTGTCAGAGTGGTGTGGATGTAGGACTTTTACTTCATTGATCAAATCAGGTTTTTCCTTTTGGTGGCTGTTGATAAGCGGCTGACCCTGATGTGACCTCTGAGCTCCCTCTACAGGAAGAAAACTTCAAGGTTTCACATTACATAATGCTACTCTGCAGTTGAATACTGTATGTATTGTGCCCTGAGTGACAGCATGTCCTCCACTCATACATCAGTTGTCAGGATAACAGCCAGCTCCTCCATTTATTTCCATTTACTGTTTAAGTGCTACACTTGGTCAAGGCCTCTTAAAATATCTTTATTGGCAAATATTTAATGTAATATTTGTGTTTGTTTTATTGTCCAAAAACCATGAAAAGACAAAAAACAACAATTAATTGATTTATTAGTATTGCCTGTGCCATTGTTGTCCAAAGCATATTAAAAACCCATTAATTAATTTAATATTCCAGTTTACAATTCCAAAGTTTATCATCATCAAACTGAATAATTAGGGCAAATTGGTATTGTCATGCATTTTTATTTTTTTCTTTCTCAAACATGTAAGATTTATCTGAAGTAATCTGTGTGTGTGTGTGTGTGTGTGTGTGTGTGTGTGTGTGTGTGTGTGTGTGTGTGTGTTTATATTGTAATCTCATTTGTGACATTTAACAGTTGTTTACATGTAATGAAACACTCTCAGAAGCTGTAATACCATAGCTTATTGCTGCGGGTTTGGAAAACATCAGCCTATTCTACTGGGACCTGCTGCAATCTATATAATACATTCTCTCTCAGAGCAAAGTTAGCTAATTAACAGAAATATATAGTTGGCTAATTAGCATAATATGCGAGAGAATGATTTTTCAACCCTCAGAGGACAGAAAATACAGGAGATGTAATGGAAGGTGTATGATAAAAAGTGGGAGAAAAGAAGAGGGGACAGGTTCAATGAAAGACAAAAAGAGAGAGTGTGTTAAACAGATGAACAGATGTACTACTATGAGACAGTGATATCGTGTCAGCCCTATGTACAGGACTGTTGTGTGGCAACTGCATTAGCACCCAACCTGCAGTGATCCAGGCAGACTAAAAGATCATTTAGCAGTAATATCATTCCCTTCCTCTTGACTGTGGGTCACGCAGACACAGGTCACCGCAACCGCAGCATGCCAGTCCTCTTTCTTCTATTTGGATTGCAGTGGCCGCATGATAACAAACAAACATACAGGGGCAGTCTTCCTGGGAAAGAACAGGGCAAAAAAAAGGGTAGAAATGCCACCAAACCCTGAGTATCTTCCTCATTAACAGATGAAGAAACAGAAGAGAGAGGAAAAATAAAGGTCTTGAAGGGGAAGAGATGTAAGTAATTCCTCCAGCCTGCTGGTCCACATAGGGAATTTACAAGCAGCAAGTTGTTCAATAATTTATTGATTTTCTTAGTTAGCTTTTCTTTCTTTGAGGATTTGATGTAAATGATTATCTGACAGTTTTCAGCTCAACTAGTGAGTGAAAGTATGTATGGGGTTGTGTCTCTTTGCCCGGTGTAAATTAATCAGTGGATTGTTTATTCTTCTACCTATTAGTGTGATTTTGTTGAGAATACTGTTCAATATTGTTTTTAGGAAGAGCCTCCAGTTTACTGAGGAATAAAGGATGCAGGAATGTATTTCACACTCCTAAATATCCCATAAAGTGGTGTTTATGACAGTTGTTTAATTGTATCTTGATTATCTTGTAACTGCTGCTGAATTCCTTTAAAAGTGAGATGTTATTGTGGGAGTATGGGAAGTACGTTTGCATCACAACATTCGTTCCAATGGGTTTTGTGAATGGTACAGCATGTTTAAAAATGTTTCAGCAGACTATTTGTCTCCAAACAAGTCAAAGATTCTGAGTATCAAAGTTTTCCATTCCATCTGCAATTTACAGTACCATGTCCCACACTGATGCATTTTTTCTGCTTTCCATTTTGTTCCAACAGGTGTTCATCAAAAAAAGTTGGTTTATAACCGACTGTGTCACAGAAGTTGTGTGTGTTTCTGATGTGATTTTAGCCATTCCAGCAGCATAGCTCTATGGTCGGCAGTATCAGTCTGTCAGTCGTCCACCACTCATGTTCCCCAGAGGATGAATCTTAAGCCCCTTTTAAATTGGACAAAAACCCACTAAGACCTATTAACATCTGGCTTTTGTTTTCAGTAGGAAAGGATACAATTGACACCCGGTTGGACACGCAAATCTTCGCCCCTTTTCCGGCACGACTGTTTCACCTTATTCTATCTGTGGATGTCATTAAACGCCTCATCCGTATGTTTATGTTGTATTAGCATGTTAGGCTAACAGTGCACCAGCAGCTACATCCTGTAATATCTGCGCACTTGTCACCGGTCACTTTCTCGCTGCTATGGGCTACACCCAGCAACCACTGTGACATTGTCACTGGCTTCCATGCTTCTTTCTGCTGTTTCCTAACCCTGTTTTCCAGCATGTTTGTGACATTGAATGCCACACGTCAAAAAATAAATAAATAAATAAAACCAGAAAAGACAAACTTGGCAATGTGACAGGACTCACTTGCCTACATGACAATGTTTACATTAGCATTTAGCTCAAAGCCCTGTTCAGCCTCACAGAGCTGCCAGCATGACTGTAGACTTCTCAAATATTGTGTCTGAAACTGTATCTTACTGTCAGTAAGCTTCATTGCAAACACTTGTCTACCTTTTTCAGTTACCTCAAATTGGTGTCTTTGTTAATTTGTCTACTCCAGTGTGCGTATAAGTGGAATGCACTGGTTTCGTGTTGATCAACTTTGAAGGTTTGGCAGGGCTGCATGGTCTGTTTGGATTTTAAATATCTCTCTGTGTTGTTTTCTCTCTTTCCTCCAGCATGATAAGACAGAACACGGGTCGATCCACTCGATCCATCTATCTGGGTCTGGCGTGTCTGTCCCTCGCTCTCCACCTCCTTCTGGCATTTTTTTGTCTCTCTGTCCTCCAGACAGCCTGTGTCCTTCCCACCTCGTCTTCCTCCTCAGTTCCAAGAACAGATACTCAGCACCATCAGTCTATCTCCCACTCCTCCTCTTCCTCTGCTGTCTCTTCACATAAACTGCCAACGATCTCCCAGAATGAAGAGCATCACAAACTGAATGCCACAACGTTTCACCCTAAGGAGAAAGACCCATTCAGTGGTGCCACTGAGAGGGGAAAGAAACTGATTGGAGCTGGAAAAACGATTCAAAAGGTCAAGGGTCGTTCTAAGCTGGAGGCGCTGTTTGAGCACCCGCTGTACAACCTGCCACGCCCAGAGCTGCAAGAAGATGATTGGCTGCTGAGGTTGAAGACAAATGAACATGCAAGGGAGGCAGGAAGTGAAGAGGAGGAGGAAGAGGAGAGGGAAGACGCCATCAGTAATGACAGTGAGTGGTAAGTAAAACAACTCTGGTAAGAACGATCCGCAGGTTTGCTAAATATCCACTAGATTATGCATTAACATTGGTTTTAGAATCGAGTTCTTAATGAGACTGAGTTCCAGCGGCCCGGCTTTCCACACTAAAATCTTGTATCAACACGTGAACATTAAAGGTTTCAGCTTGCTTTACTGACAAGATCATAAGCCTCTTTTTAGCCATGCTGGTGACAACGTCAGTTTGTTAGTTGGTTGGCCCACCACTTTGGTCCAGACTGAAATATCTCAACAACCAATGGATGGATGTCCATGACATTCTGTACAAATGTACATGGTGCCTGGAGGATAGCATACTGACTTTAGTGATCCTCTGACTCTTCCTTTTTAGTGACAGGTTTCAACAATCGGATTGCCATGAAATTTGGTACAGATATTCAACCTTTGGTGAATCCCTGACTTTCATCTAGTGCCATCAGGGCAAAACTTCTTTTGTCCAATACTTTGTTTTATACCTGCAAAACGAATGACATTCCCACAGCGTGCTAACACACTAAACTAAGATAGTGAAAAATGTTACCTGCTAATTTAAAAATATAATGGTAGCTTGCTAACACACTAAACTAAGACAGTCAACAATTTTGGCATTCTTTATTACACAATTCACCCCTACAGCTTGTTTTATACCTCAGAGCCAACCTGAATCCAACCCACTGAACTTCAGTTTGACTGTAACCTTTATCGGCCAATTCTGCCTATTTATCACCTCCACTTTCTCTCCTGTAGGCAGAGTGCCAGTCGGGAGGAACGCTATGACAAAGTCACTTGGACGAGCGACGTGGATACCCACCCTCTGTGGCTGCGGTTCCACCTGGGCATTTCTCGCCAGGAGCTGTATGACAGGAAGGATCCCAACCTGGCCCAGCTGACTCATTATTTAGCAACGCAACGTATCGTCAAGGCTGGTGAGCAAATGAGGGGGGTGGGGCCAACAGGTGAGAGGACAGAAAGAAGGAGAGGGCCAGAGAGAGACGTTAGAGGAGGGTGCACAGTAAGTAAAGACACTTCCTGAAATGTCAGACAGACAGAATTGCTTCTCACTGGCACACTTGTGTAAAATGATTTAGAAAACATACTGCAGCCATGGTTCTTTCAATATTATCCATGTTCTGCCAAAACTTGCACAACCCACTCGTTTGAAAGTAGTTAATTTAGGCATTAACATATTAAAGATCTGTATCTGTATTCAGCACTATATTTAGGATGCAGAGATAAAAAGGCTTTTACTGAAACAAGGCAGCCTGAGGAGCCATTTATTAGGAACTGTGATATAAGTGGAGTCTAGTTTACTAGATTGTAGTCTACATTACAATTAAATTAGATTAACTCTTACTTTTTTCATTTTCAGTGCCACTATCCCCATCTTTGTCCTAGTTTTACACATTATGTTGTCAAGAGGGTTCAAATTCTAAATCTAAATTTAGAAACGTATCTTTACCCTGAAATGTCCTTCTAGTGTTAGGGTTTAATTTAAGTATGAGCATTCAGATTCCTCTTGACACAATTACAAAGTCACTACCATGCTGCTTTCTCATTTCAACTCCCTTTGTACAAACAAGCTAGTCTGCGAGAGAGCCAGAGGCAACACAGAGACTAAAGTTTTCACTCAGTGAATACAGTAAAATGTGCTAAAGTTCACATTTAGAGAGCAGCGAAGTTGACATTTTTAGAAATACATTCACACAAAGGCTGTAGTGTGTGCTGTTGGTGTGGTGGATTGCAGTACATTGCATTGGACTAAACCACAACAAAAGGAAGCAGCAATTGCTCCTTGGAGCAAATTAAGTTTTACATGCACACTCAGATCCAAAGACACACCCACACCTACACACAAAATACAAATGAAATGCAAATGCATAAAGGTTAAAAAAGAAAACGACCGAGGTTTTATAAGAAACAGATAACCGAGTGTGTTAAATCTGCAGCTCACATGTTGTTTTGTTGTAGGGTGATCAATATAATCCTCCCTCAAACTTATATTATCTAAACACCCACTCACACAAAAAAACACTGACCCGAGTGCACAAGTAGTCCACATACATAAACAAATAGACACACAACTTCACTTGCTTCAACACAAGCTCTATTTGTGTTCATCTCAGACACCCTGTCCCGGTCTTTAACACACCGCAGAATGAATAATGCATTGAGATTCGTGTTATATGCTGCAGATTAAGCAGTAATCTCTGCTACAGGCTGATTTTCCGTGACTATGTCATCTGTTTATTCTTTATAACACTCACCGTGGTGTAAATGTGTGATTTAACTCATTTACACTGTTGTCTGAAGTTTTTTTTTAATGAAATACTCATACAAAAGCGCCTTGGTGTCCGATTTACAGTGATGCTAAAATTAGTTTAAATTATTTGCCAACCAGCTAATGATACGCTGAGTTCCTTGCTTTATGTGTTGAAGGGTGACAATGTCACCAAAGAGGCCTTCAAGATGGCCAAACAATTCATATGGTTTTATATAAATAATGCAGGGGCATTAAGCATTAAGTAGTTTATCCAGATCTTCTTGCTGTAATGTTCCATTTGGAGGCTCCGGTGGTAGTTGGTGGTTTAACAATGTTATAGGCCACCATGTGGAGAAACAGGTGTACTGCACAACATTGAACATGGACCCTGTGCAGGCACTCATTTAACCATCACACGTTTTGTTTTTTAGTGTGTGAGATGTGTTTCTTATGATGACTTGCAAATATCATAATGTAAGGGTGTAAGCAATGATCACTTAATGCATATCTTCCAGTTCAGAAGACAGGAGGAACCCAGCTCAAACTGGTCATGTCGTTCCCCAACTACGGACAAGCTCTGCTGAAACCCATGAAGTAAGACACCACTGTAACTGAAAACACAAATGGCTGACTGGTATCAGTTAGGTTAACTAATTGGAGTGATCTGGACTGAGTATCTGTTGGGCAGAGGTCACATTTTTCATTAAACAACACAGTACAGCAGAGCAAAATTCTACTTTTACACTTGACATATGTCAGCATACAGCCTTGTGCATCCATGTTTATGTGTGTTTTTGTCACACAGACAATCCAGAGATGCAGAGACGGACGTAAACCTCTTCTACTTCTCAGACTTTGAAAGACACAACGCAGAGATCGCTGCATTCCACCTTGACAGGTACAGAGTCGGTCACACTCTGTCAGCAGGCAGCAGGTGTCCTGCTCGGCAGACAGACCATCCTGTACCCACCAGGTCACTGGTCCAACATTGGAATAATTCATTCATGAAGCTACGGTACAGCTTGTGTCATACAGATACAAGTAAAGTGAAACTTGAAAAGAATAATAATAATAATGCATTACATTTATATAGCACTTTATCATGGAAACTCAAAGCGCTTCACAGTGTAGTGGGGGAGGACTCACCTCAACCACCACCAACCTACTTGTTTTCTTTCTCATTCCTTTTTCTACGCTTTCTCTTGCTTATGCTCTCTGTCTGCCCCCTTTTTTGTGTGTCTTTCTTTTGTTAATGATTGCGTCTGTTCTGTCTCAGATTGTTGGGCTTTAACAGGGTCCCTCCGGTGGTCGGTCGACTCATCAATGTCACCGCAGAGATCAGAGAGATCACCACTGACCACAGGCTGTCTAGGACCTTCTTCACGTCCCCTGGTATGTGTGTGCATGCACGTATGTCAGCATGGATCCGTGCCTGCACCCAAAACATTAGAATTTCCTGTCCATACAAACTAATCCGTCGTATCTCTCACTCCTTCTAGTGGGGAATGTGTGTTTCTACGGCCGGTGTGAGTACTACTGTTCAACTGAGCACCCAGTGTGCGGTCAGCCACATGTACTGGAGGTTTCCCTGGCTGCCATGCTACCTGACCTCACCCTCGCTCCCCGCAGGTCCTGGAGGTCTCCGTGGAGACGCTCCTACAGTCGCATCAAGCTCGCACAGTGGGTGTCATCACTAATAATTAAAGAATAGGTATTAATAATGAACAATTTGAACAGAAAATAGCCCTGCAGTGATTACCATCTTTGTTTTGTCTACATGCATTCTCACACTGTGTGTTGGGCAGAGTTTTGGGAATGCCTCTGTTTGTTTTAAATGTCTTTGTTGTTTAAGTTTTAACTGAAAGTGTTTGTAATGTTGCTGACTTGTTGCTGGCGGAGTTCATAGCTGAGATGAGTTTATGTAAAATTATGAGTCTTCACTGCTCTCTAGTGGTCCTAATGGAAAACTGAAACATAACATTAATATCGATGAGCCTGTTGGAGGACAATGTGCATATATTTTTATAGATGATGTGGACACACTGTGCAGGAGCTCAGCTCAATGTGACATTGTGTCGTTATCACAACAAAGAAATAGTGAACCACAAACCTTACTGAGCTAAAATAACTTTATACTAAGCTGACTGTCAGCCTACAGTCTGTAGCTTCCTCCTGGTGTCCTGTTCTGCTCAGGTAGATTTTATTTTAGGACATTATGCACAGTGTGTCATATCACTGCCCCAGGCAAGGAGGCAGGAGCTGTCCGAGTTACTCACACTCATGTGCAGGATTTGTTTTGATTGATTTGGCAACACATTATGTTGTTATTGTGTCATTTCTGGGCACTGTTTTGGCATTTTGATCATTTATTGTTTCTATCTGGCTGGAACCAACATGAGCTTATTTAAATGTGCACCTTATTGTCAGTTGGCCCGAAAAGGAATGACACATTGTACACTGCCTCAACATATACTCAGCATAGTCAACTTAATACATTGTGAAGTTGAAACCCAATCAGCCTAAATCACAACGTCAGGCCACAATAGGCAATTTAAATTTGTTTCTCAGATTAACTTGAGTTCAGTCTCAACACTAGCCACCATGGCTGACCAGATAAAAAAACAGCTGAAATTCAGTCGTATCCATTTTCTTCTACTCAATTTGCATTGTTGTTCCCAGGTGGGAGAAGGACCCGGCGTTCTGTGACACAGTGAAACAGACGCCTCCTTACAACCACGGCACCAGACTGGTGGATCTCATAGACATGGCTGTGCTGGACTTCCTCATGAGTCAGTCTCTACATTTGAAATTTAACATGGTAGTCAGTGTAATGTGAGGGGTGACTGACCTTTACATCCTCCTTGAGAGAGGGGGGCATTTGATATTTTGTACATAAATGTGTAAATAAGAGTAGTATTTCCCATATTAACGCACTCAGGATGTCATGAATTTTCATCAATATATGCCATTATTAACTTTTTGTGTTTTTTAATTTCTACAAAAATGTCTCAGTCACAGTCTGAATACACATTAATGTTTTTCAATCCAAGGCAACATGGACAGACATCACTATGAGACGTTTGAGAAATTTGGCAATGAGACTTTTCTGCTGCATCTGGATCACGGACGGGCGTGAGTACCATAAATCATAATGTCATAATGTTGTTGTTATAGTGCAAGGAAAAAAAGGGATTTTTATGTTGTAACAACTAACAGATTTTTTTTTTTTTTTTTCTATGCAGCAGCCAGTTAAAACATTGTTTCATTTCTGACGGGGGTTCAGCCATTGTGGGAACATTTCATTTATACTTTCTTGTGACTGCCATGTTGCTGATAATGTTTTCCAGGTTTGGGCGTCACTCTCGAGATGAGCCGTCTATTCTAACTCCTTTGCAACAGTGTTGCAGGTAAAAAGATACTGCAAGAAGTAATCATTCAAAAGTGAAGTTGCATGGTGTTGCACAGAAAACATCAGAAAATATTGTTCTGCATAAAATTAAAAGGCCAAGAGCAAATAAGGAAACATAAACGCTCTTTAAAAATTCTAGTCTGTGTGGGTGTCAGTGTCTCTTTTGCTCTGCACTTGTAGGATCCGTCGCTCCACCCTCCTCCGCTTGCGCCTCTTATCTCTCCCTGGCTTCCGTCTGAGTGATGTCATGCGTGAGTCATTGGCCCAGGATCCTCTGGTAGGGGTGGCCCCCCTTCTCTCTGAACCACACCTCTCTGCTTTGGACCGACGCCTTGCAGCCATCCTACAGGTGGTGCAGACCTGTCAGCATCACCACAAAGACGTAATTTACAACGATTTGGTGGGATATAATCACGACTACGATCAACAGCTTGACTGAGGGGGGAAATGATATATTAGTCTCGTATGGCTGTGTTGAAATAAGGGTTTCATTATAGATTTAGGGTAAAAGCTGGTGAAAATGGAGCCAAAGGTTGACAGCTTTGAACATCCCCCTGCAATATTCAGAACATTGAAGTACATGTAATATTTTCCAATATCAAGATGCTCATGAGTGAATAAATTGGTTCGTTCAATATGCTGAATCCATAAAACATCACAACCACAGGCTTCTACCTTGAAAAAGACTGAACAGGTCAATCGATTAACTTTAGTCATTAAAGAATGATGGATGTATAAGGGATAAAAAATGTATCTCATATTCTTTTCCAAGGTAAACTGTACCCCCCGAAACTCTGCCCGCGAACGGTGGTGCTCATAGTTATTGTGCGGTAATTATGATATAGACAAAGTACCTGTTAAGTTCTCTGCTTTTCATCGACAGGCCTTTTTGTCACGGGCCCTAATTTATAAACATAATTTCTCTCCGCACCAATATTATATCTGGAACAATCACGACATTTTCTATAAAAACAAGTCCCTCTTCTTGGAATATTGGTTCAGGAATAACATTTTACTGGTAAGTAAGCTTGTAAATGAGGAGGGCTTTCTTCTTAGTAATCAGGAATGTCTATTTCTACTATATGGGAGCCCTGTAACACCCAGAAACTTTGCTCTGGTTTTGGATGCAATCCCTTCAGGAATGTTAATAGACCTGACCTTCAGATTGTACCTGCATTTGATCCTGGTGTCGAGTAGGTATGGTCTGCTTCTCTTCCCATCCACATAACAACAGGGATATTCATGCCTTGTTCCAAGAAGATATTGTCAATATGTCAATTTTTACTGGAACCAATTTGTCAATGATCTGTGCTGAAGAAACATTTGGATGCTGCCCCATAAACACTTACTTATTAACAAGGTTATGGAAGTATCCTTAAAGATTATTCATAGATTCTAAGGATAGATTAAAAAGGACACTGATCCTAACTGGACCTTCTGTAAGACTCAGATAGACTCAAAGAAATTATATTACATTTGTTTTGTCACTGTACTTGTGTAAAACTATTTTGGCAGGATGTATGTACATTTATCAATGATAATATCTATCCAGGTTCAACTTGTTCTGGCAGAATGTCTTTTTTGGGGTTTTCAGTAATGAAAAGCAACACTGCAACCATTATTTCATAATAAATTTCATGTTGTTTCTGGCAAAATTAAAGTACAAATTTACAAACAAAAAAATCCCTATTTATAGAATAGAAAATTTATATATATATTTTTTTTCATGCTCTCCGTGTGTTTTTATTTTTAGCACTTACCTGTTTTATCATGTAGCACTTTGGGATTTGCGTAAATATAAAGTGCATTACAAATTAAATGTATCATGTGTATCCTTACAATGTAGCCTATATGTCCTACATGCCCTTGTCATTACTTTTCTATTAATAGAAGAGAAAAGACATTTTAATATTTGCATACAGTTTTACCTTGAATTTGTATTCGGCCTACCGAAGATGGACTGATAGGTATTCAGTATTTCAGGTCATTTCATACCTCTGAACATCAGAGCACTACAAACCCAAGTCAAGACACCAAAGATATGACAGATTGAGCCTCTCACTCTGTTGTGGATGACGCCCCCTACCGCTACTGACCAGAACTGCGACTTGCCAACAGAAAAAACAAACGGGCTACTTTCACTTTCCCAACGTCACTGGAGAGAAGAAGGTAGTGGCAACGGCCTGCCCTGTCGGACAGTCCCGCCCTGAAGGTCCAGCACCACCCATAATACCATGTCAGTCCTGAAGGGAGGGCACCGGTTACCCTCCTCAGTGTGGGCGTAACTACACGTCCAACCCCGCCTTCCCGCGGGCCGCAGCCTTGACAAGTTGCAGGAAGGAGGAACTGAGAAAGCATTTGTGGGCAGAGCTAGAAGAGGAGCTTTGATCGTACTTGGAAAGACTTCCGCCTATACCCTGAAATCTTGTCATCAACTTGTTTTGATTTTTAGACACAGTCTTTTACACAGGTAAAAGTATTGATGCCCATTATTTTTTTTATTTAGCGCCATAGTTTGAATGCAACATCTAGTAGGCCTAAGTATTTGGAGATTTTTGGCCCATTGTTTTCTGCAGAGAAGAGGGGTGAAGTGGCCTTATTGACAAACCATGGATCCGCTGGACTTCCTTGAGTCGGACGAACTCCTGCGGTTCTTCCGCCGCCATAAAACAGAAATGTCCTGCATGGAGGACCCGCACATCTTTCTCTGCCAGCTCAAGGACCACGACCTGATCGCAGACGACGCATACAAGGTGAGACACTGAAGTGGAAACGTTGCGCATTTGTTATTGCCCTGCTCAGAGAGGAGTCGCACCTCCTCATGCGGGCGTTGGTTCAATGAAATGCGCGCAGTGAGAGCGGGAACTTTACAGCCTACTCAGCAATAACTTAGAGATTTTAAATTTGCCAAGGCAACAGGAGTGCTTAATGAAAAAAAAAAAATTAAAATGTATACTCAGTGGTAAAAAAGTATTCAGATCCTTTACTTTAGGACTAACAAGTAGCCTATCAATAGGCTACCACATTGTGAAAATACTCTGATACGGGTGTTTTTTCAAATGCAGTCTGTGGTCTACTTTGTGTTAGTTTAGGAGTCCTTGATGTGAAAGTTTGAGAACCCCTACTGCTCTAATACATTCTGCACTCCATATCTTACTTACATAAAAGCATGAGTGTTATCAGCAAAATGTAGCCTACTTATTATAAGTCAAAAGTAAAATGACTCATTCTGCAGGAACATGGTCCCTGTCAGTGTTTATATATTATATAATAGATGTTTCTGGATTAAGATTGCTGGTGTATGTTTTAGCCTATTTAACTGCTGTAGTTGTTTAAGGTTGAGCTAATTGTAACTACTTTGTAAACTGTTGTGTAGTTTAATCTACAGCAATGCCTCATATTATATGATCATCAAATGTTTGTAGCATCACTGTCTTTTGATGAGGCATGTATCAAAGAGTCAACTTTTCATGAGGTCCGACAAACAGCCTGTTTGCATCTTTGTGAAGAATAATTTCCCAGCTGATCCAAGAAGAAGGAGGATTTTCTCATACAACAAAGGAACACTTAATCCTTCAGTTTATCTAAAAAGTTTTAAATTAAAAATCATTCCTCAATCCCTGAATAGTTAAGTCCGTCGGGACTTGTCTAGCATTTCAAGTTCAGCATGAACCAATGCTGAAGGTGCCCCTGAGCAAGACCCTGAACCCCTAACTGCTTCTGTGGCGCTACACCATACTGCCAACTGTTCCTAATTAGGATGGGTTAAATGCAGAGAACTAATGTGGATCAATAAAGTATTTTTAAAAATAAAAATAAAACCAGACATTGAACAAATCAGGTAGACCCCAACCCGAAATCTGAGTGTCAAAGTGGTTACATGCTACTTATTAAGACAAATAGATCAGAAGTAAGCCAGCGTGAGAAAATAAATATGTTCTGTCAGTATTGTTCGATGTGTCAATCAATCACGACAATAAATGGCGGTATAGATTTTAGGTCTTATCGTCCAGCCCTGACTTCATACTTTTGTATGTGTGTGTGTGTGTGCAGAAGGTGAGTCGCATGAGGAGTAAAAAGAACATTACGAAAGGCCTTTATGACATTCTGGACTTGTTGGAGAGAAATCGATCAAGCCACATCAAAGTGTTCTGGAGCTGTGTCTTCAAAGAGCCCATCTTGAACCATTACCCCACCCTGCGAATGCTGCGCAACAGCCTCATGGACGGTCAGACTCTTTTTTTGATGATCATCAGAGCGTTAATGATTGTGATTCTGCTTGCTATGTTTATGTTGTCTTTGCACAGACAGCCAGACAGATAGACAGACAGACGGGCAGATAGATAGATAGATAATTGCAATGTTGCAGCAGCAGTGGTTTACAGAAAATGAAGACAATAAAATAACAGTTACAAAACATACGCAACTTGCACAAAACACGTATGAGGTAGGTTAACAAATATATATTCATTCAAACTACTATTCTAATACACATACATAGCTTAAATATATGTCTCAGTCATATATCTCATATCTGCGCATATGAGTGAATAAAGATGTGCATTGTCATTCTGAAGAAAGAAGTCTCCTGTCCCTGCCCAGAAAGGTGTCATTGTATATTTTAATTGCAACGGGCAGGAATGACTTCCTGTAGCTGTTCTTATTACTGGAGAGCTGAAGGAGTCTCCGACTGAAGAGACTACTATCTGACCAGAAGTGTTGTCCATAATTTTGAGCTATTTGTGCAAAATTATTCTCACCACATCCAGTGCAGAGGCTGCAGGGCAGTCCAAAGCACAGAGCCAGCCCTCTTAATCAGCTTGTTCAGCCTCTTAGTGTCACTGGCTCAGATTCTGCTGCTCCAAACAGATGGCTGCAAAGAAAATTATACTCACAACCACTGGCAAAAAATGTGCAACATGTTGCTGCGCACATTAAAGGAGCTAAGCTTCCTCAAGAAGTTGGATGAGTTAAGAAAGACCAGTCCCTCAAGGACTTCCATTATGTGGGTTGTTAATGCCACCGACCTATAATCTTTGAAGTCAGATAGAGATGACTTCTTCGCTACCAGAACAAGGCAGTATGTCTTCCACAGCATTGGAACCTTCTCCTGGCTCTGACTAAGGTTGCATAACTGGTCGGGGCAGGCCTTCAGGACCCTGGGGCTGATACCATCCAGCCCTTCAGCTTTGCTCTGGCGCCATCTCTCTAGCTGTCTCCTCACCTGGCTGCTGGAAAAAGATAGGCAGGGGGGGCATGTTTCCTAATGTGGCGGGGAGGTGACGTTGATGTCGTGTCCATGGGGCACACTGAGTACTTCCCAGTATGTGGCCTCAAACACCCCATCAGAATCTCATACATTAGACATTAAACATTTAGCTATTGGATACATGGTGTAAACTTATACTTACTAATAGATAAATCATGATTAAATTAGTTAGCTAAAAGTGTTTCAAATCTTGAGTTTCACACCACTCCAAGTAGTATGAAAGCAAACTTGGCCAAACCCACCTGAACACTGTCATTGGCAACATTGGCTGAGGAGGGGGAATACCCCTTGGCACTTGGTTAGAAAGTAAAACATCTCATCATTCTTTCACTATCATTTGTTCATGGCTTATAGTTGATATCCTATATCCATATAATTGCAGGGTCTTTTCATTTTGACATACAACTGCCCGAGAAGGGGGAAAGTGAAGAGACAGACGAAGGGGAAAGGAAGGAGCTTTCAGAAGATGAGGAGGGTGAAGAGAAGAAAGCAAACTCAGTAAAAAAGAAGAGAAAACTTAGAAGTAGTTCCGTGTGCTATGAAGACGAGCAGGCCGGGCCTTCGTCTCAGTTGACTCCAGGTCAGAGGAAGAAGTCCAAGAGAATACGCTTCTGTGAGTCACCTCCCACTTACACTTTACTTTTGTGAACATGACTGTACCTTACTTGAAGGTTTCACTGGGCTTAGGGTGGGAGAAATCACTCACTGTGAATTATGTTTCTCTGTGAGGGAAAGAAAGTTTCTCATTTGGAACAATGAAGTCAAAATGAATATATTTTTTTATTTTCCAGCTTCTCCCCTGAAGAAGGGAGAGAAGAACGCCATTTGGAACTGGCCCCTGTATAAGTTACAGCTGCCTGTGACCTGTGGACTCCAGGAGGGAATACTGGACAGAAACAGACTGGCTAAAGGTCAGGGTTAGGGTTAACAAAAACAAAACACTGAAAACCAGGACCAGGCTTAGAGATCTTTAATCCGATCTTACTGAATGGAATATTTGATATAAGAACCGCTGACAGTAACATATATTGGCCATCACAGCAGACGATTTGTCATTAACATTAACACATTCCCAATCCTCTGATCATTTTAGGGCAGAAGTGCATTGTGGTCAAGAGACAGTGGTTTACTCCAAATGAATTTGAGAAGTTGGCAGGGAAGGAGAGCTACAAGAACTGGAAGATGAGCATTCGGTGTATGAACACCCCACTGGGAAAACTTATAAAGGTTTGTTGAAAAGGGATTTTTAGTTTGGAATATACAGGTGCTGGTCATATAATTAGAATATCATCAAAAAGTTGATTTAATTCCATTCAAAAAGTGAAACTTGGATATTATATTCATTCATTACACACAGACTGATATATTTCAAATGTTTATTTCATTTAATCGTGATGATTAAAACTGACAACTAATGAAAATCCCAAGTTCAGTATCTCTGAAAATTAGTATATTACTTAAGACCAATACAAAAAAAGGATTTTTAGAAATGTTGGCCAACTGAAAAGTATGAACATGAAAAGTATGAGCATGTACAGCACTCAATACTTAGTTGGGGCTCCTTTTGCCTGAATTACTGCAGCAATGTGGCGTGGCATGGAGTCGATCAGTCTGTGGCACTGCTCAGGTGTTATGAGAGCCCAGGTTGCTCTGATAGTGGCCTTCAGCTCTTCTGCATTGTTGGGTCTGGCGTATCGCATCTTCCTCTTCACAATACCCCATAGATTTTCCATGGATACCATGGTCCTTAAACCAGGTACTGGTAGCTTTGGCACTGTGTGCAGGTGCCAAGTCCTGTTGGAAAATGAAATCTACATCTCCATAAAGTTGGTCAGCAGCAGGAAGCATGAAGTGCTTTAAAACTTCCTGGTAGACGGCTGCTTTGACCTTGGACCTTAGAAAACACAGTGGACCAACACCAGCAGATGACATGGCACACCAAACCATCACTGACTGTGGAAACTTTACACTGGACTTCAAGCAATGTGGATTCTGTGCCTCTCCTCTCTTCCTCCAGACTCTGGGACCTTGTTTTCCAAAGGAAATTCAAAATTTACTTTGGACCACTCAGCAGCAGTCCAGTCCACTTTTTGATGATATTCTAATTATATGACCAGCACCTGTATATGGAACAAGACTGTGTGACACAACTTGCTTTTCTTTAACATTTGCCCTACGCTTGGACCACACTACCTATCTCTACCTGTGTGTCATGGCTACCTCGCTCCACTGCTGCGGCTCATTTTCACACGCTGGTGGTGCCCACACAGACAGCATTTGTGCTGCCAGCCCTATCATTCTACATTGAGTTTGCCTTTGAGAAATACAATACAATTAAAGCATTGTTAACAAATGAAGATCCACAGAAACACTAGCGGGCTTTTAATTTGAAAAGGATACAGGAGGCGTTGATTTGAAAAAAGTAGATATTTAAATTGTAGTGGAAGGTGTCATGCTGTTGATATGATGTCTATATGACCATCAGATCATTTTCACTGAGAACTGCAGTGAAATAGGTGAGATATTGACTCGCGTGACACAAGCTGCGTGGCTGCTCCAACCAGTTAACATGGCCGAAATTAAAAAAAAGCAAGAGGTTCCGCAACACACATACGCTGCTCAGGTAGGCAGTGTGGCCCGGCCGTTAATGTTCCTATTTAGATCACCTCACACGCAGTTTGTTTTGAAAATTTTTTTTTTGTCTTCTCTTGAATTTCACTGCAGGAAGGTCACCTGGAATCAGTGAAGTACAAGGGAGGGTGTAAAAAGGTAAAAACAAAAACTGGTGAAAAAAAACTTGTTTTTCTTAATCCTGATCTGAGATATATACTTTTCTCCTTCTTCTTGCTAGGCCAAGAAATCACTGTTCCCAGCTGATCGTTTAATCACAGGTTGGTTGTATTAGTGAAAACACAGAGAAAATTTAGAAAATTAGAGGAGTATACATGGAGTATACTTATGAGAGTGCTACATTCCCACAAGCTATTAAAAGAGCATCCATTACCTCACATAAAATATTAAAAATGCTATCATTAGAGCCAAGCAAAGCAGATGATCTATCTGTCCAGCTATATCTATAATCAAATCTTTCATGTAAGTCCGCATATATGCAATTTAGATTTTTAAATGTATACAAAAAACTGTCAGCTGAGCTTCTTATTTGCTAATGTTGGAGAAATGATTGATACTGTATATGCAAACAACAAAAAATGTATTGTAAGAAACAAAGAAATCACCTCCTTTTTCAGTGTCTGAGGGAGAGGAAGATGAAGATGAGGAGTGTGACCTGGACAAGGAAGACCAGGTTTCGTTAAGCAGCAGGGAAAGTTCGGCACATGTCACAGGTGCAGGTTTCTACAAAGAGATGGTCAGGGTTGAAATGCGTTTACGCAAAAAGTAATACAGATCACCTCAGATGTCTCTCCTGTTCCAGTGTCATAGCCATAGTTTGTTAATCATACTCTGAACATGTGTCAATTACAGATGAGGAAGGAGAGGCGGAGGCACAGACTGAGGAGCAGCCAGAAGCCAGCCATGACAGTAGCAAGAAGGTTTTCAAAGTTACATGTGGAGCTGTAGCTGGGACCTTACACAAAAAACGATTTGCCTCAGGTTAACTATACCTCACTACACACAGGAAGGATAAAAATGTGTATCTGTACCACATTTTTAATTTCAGTGTGTCACTCTGGTTAACTAAACTGGCTTTCACCAACAGGGACTTGTGGGAAGAGTATTCGTACTGAGACGAGCTGGATGAGTCCAGTGGAGTTCACGAAGGAGGCGTCCTGTCAGACAGATGCCACCTGGAGGAAAGACATCAAGTGGGAAGGGAAACCACTCTGTGTCCTCATAGAGGTAACCATGTCGAGTGTGGTGTCATGACCTGTTTTCAGTCCTGGGTGATTTGGCGACAACCGTGGTAACAGCAAGTGCGGTTTTAATCCTACGCTCACTGAGCAGCTACATTGTCAGAAATATAACAACAAAGTAGCTGGTTGATCTGTTTATAGTGCAGCCAAACTAAGCGCTGTTTCGGTCAATAATAATTGCAACTGCAGTCTGATTTATTGCTGTGCACAGTGCGAGTAGTTTTCCACAGAGCAGCCGCACATGATAAAGTTGATCACCCTGCTGTGGAGATGGACATGCAGTCTGACATCTGAAACTCTGCATCTAACAGCTCACCGTGGCTGCTCCTTTTCTGATCTGTTGCTCCCATGACAATTTAAAAATGAACCAAATTTTGAAAATGACAGTTGCCGTGTAGATGCATTTTTGAGGAACAATCACCAACTGCGGGACAAAAAGCATTGCAATTCCTGTGGCTGCTCCACATTAAAAGTCAGTTTGTTTGACTGTTGAATGTTCAGTTTGCATTATCAGTAACTTAACACATAAATGAAGAGCAAACAGTAAGCAGTGAGATAAAATGTATGCACAGTCCACATACAGGTTGCCTCAGTACTTCTCTGACTTCTGTCCTGAAGGCAGACAATTTATATCCTTTGCCCAACACCTAAGTCAGTCTGAGTGGATTTGCATTGGCTCAATACACGTCTGTTTCATAAGGTATTGAATTTCGTTGCTTTCCTGGATAAGACAGGTCACACTTCAGCGTTACTTAGAGTGCTATTGTGATAACAAAAGAGCAAAAAGTGGAAAGCAGCTGAGATTCTAGAGCAAGTTCAGCTCCCGTGTGATTTAAGGTGTGACTCCACACAGGGCGGGCCTCTGCTCTCCTCACAATAAAACCAAAGGTTTAACTCACAGGGATCTGTAAATGATGGAGCCCCTGATGTCCCATAAGATTTTTTAAAAAATATCATCTTATGGGATTTCAAGGGCTATGTAGTAAAGCAGTGTAAATGTGCTGTTAGTCTCAGCACAGAGCTGTATGTCATATAGAAAAGCAGGGCCTTAGAAAACTGAAAAGGCAATAATAGGATAAAATGAATATAAACTTTTTAGGAAATACATCTTCTAGGGAACTTTTATGTAGCCATGGAGAGCCACAGGATTTGTCAAGCCTAAAAGACCTAAACTATGAAATAATTTCTATTTCAGGCAAAAGTCTTGAAGATCCACTCACCGCTGTGTCCTTGCAGACTTTGCAAACCAGATAGTAAAGACCTGGTAAGTTTGTTGCTCAGTTTTTAGACAAGCAGCCTTTTCTAATTCTACATTCTTCTTTGTTCTGCATGAACAATGCAACAATGCAATGGCCATTGCAGCATTTTACATGTAAAGTAAAATGATCAGTGATGTTAAATAGTACAAAACCTGTCTCCCACAATAAGCTACAGCTGAAAATCTGACCCACCTGCGTAGTGTATACCTCAGTCGCTCTCGTGCATCAGTGTTAAGTGTTGGACAGTAAAATCATTACTATTCACAGTAAAGAGTAGTGTAACGGATTACTATTTCCAAAACAGTTAGCCTGTATTATTATAGTTACTATTCCAAGTAGCACTGCGCTACTGAACGCACCATTGAATGACGTGCTGCAGCTCAGCGGCACCTGACCACCATATGTTGTTTAAGTCAGTTGTTAACCAAAAAGCTAAATGAAGAAAGGAGAACAAGGGAGAGAGGCGTTCTTTCCACAGCTGTAAGTAGCTATAAAGGCCTTTTCAGACGGCTTGGATCCGCAGGTCGTTCTGCTCTCCTCATAAAGTGCAATTTATACTTCTGCGTCGAATCAACAGCATAGCCTCTGCGTAGCCCCGTCACCTAGACCGAAGCCTGACGTGCACCTCCTCAAAAATGTAACTACACATCGATGCGATGTGCGATCCAATCGATGCGATTGCGATCCAATCACATGCCTGCAGAAGCAACATGTAATTGTAACTGCGTGTAAACAAAGTTGCGTCATGTCTTGTCGTGGCAGGAGAATCAGAAAAACGATGACGAGTGCTGCATCTGTAAAAGTGAAGAAGAAGAAGAAGTGCTGGTGGTGTGTGATCAGTGCCCTCGCTCCTTCCACCAGAAATGTCACCTGCCTCATTTAGAAGACGACATAATAGGGTGAGGTTTGATCAAAAAAAGGCGGGGGGGCAGTTCCCAAAAACTACTCTGACCTCTCACACATACAGGCTATTTTTGTGATCTCCTTTTGATAACTAATGCAATAAGTAATGTAATATTGTTTCACATCCATTCACTGAGCCTCCCCTGAAACTGTTTGGAGCCAGTAGAGATAAAAAAAAAAAAAACAGCTAAAAGAAGGTGAGTTTTTCCACATTTCATGTGGAAGTCCGGTTAGTTTTGATGGTAAATGGTCTGTACTTGTGTAGCGAATTGAGAGGTCCTTCTCCTGACGTAATGCTTAGTTATTAAATTTATATAGAAATTTGTCACATCAATCTCAATGTCACAGAGAAAGTATTTTGTTTCAATGTAATTGTAATGTAGTTCCGTAACTGCTGGATGAGCAAATAACCAACGTTAGCTATATCAACTTTCTAAGGTGATAACATGTAAATGTGATGTTTACAGCTTGTTGCTCCGCCTCCAAGTGGCCAAAAACTCTTCCTTTACTCCTTAAAAATGGAAGTAACAGTAGCAATGGTGGAATCAGGAAGAAGCCTCTTCCAGTTCAGTTTCAAATAAAAATGTTTGCTTCACTAACTTTGTTAAATGACAACCTGAGATTGTATAATTTTATTTAGATTGACAAATGCAGATGTTGGGAGTTCACAAATTACATTTAATCTAAATACTCAAAGAGAGGGGTCCATATTCTGTTCACAACTGACTGTGTGTGTATATGTATTTGGATGTGTGTGTGTGTGTGTGTGTGTGTGTGTGTGTGTGTGTGTGTGTGTGTATGTGTGTGTGAGAGCAGGGACGATACACCATGGATGTGTACTTTCTGTGTATTCAAAACCAATCAAGATTGCTATTACTGGGATGAGCTGGAATGGGAAGCTGCCATGTCTTGCCAAATATCACAACACATGCTGGTGAGCATATACACTCCGTGACTCTCTGTCTGTCTCTCCGCCTTTAAGTTATCACATCTTAATGCCTGCCTCTGTGTCACACTGCCTTCACTCTTCACTCTTTTTCCTTCCGTCAACAGGAATGCCAGTATCTCCTTCTGTGTCTGTGGAGTGCTGATGAGGAGCAAACATTTGCCAGAAACCCAAGCCTCTATGTCAGTCTTTTTCTTTGCTATTTCCATGCACCTGTTTACTGTCTTCCTATTCATTAAACATATCGCCAATTATTTAACTTATATCAAATGAAGTACACTTAATAGTCTGGCTACTGGAGGAATCACACTATCTACAGGTCTTTGCAAACAAAACACAAATGTGTTGCAGATTGTTGAGTATTTCATTCATTTCTGCTCGGCACCCACAGTTGAGAGACTACTCCACTGTGATCAAGACTCCGATGTGGCTGGGCAATGTGGCAGACAAACTCCAGGAGCAGCTCTACAAGACTGTTGGAGAGTTTGTGTCCGATGTCCAGCTCATCTTCACCAACTGTGCTTCATACAACCGGGTAAGAAACGGTGTCACTAAAAACCAGGTTTAGGATTTTCACCATTTTTGCATGTGGTACTAAGAGGTTTTCATGATCAGTCAAAGGCACAGTGAGTAGGATTTTCAAAAAGAAAAAACAAGGTATAGACGCATACTAAGATAATACCTCTCACCCATCAATTGTGACCCACTGACTAGTGTGTGGCGGTGTCTGTATCTGCAGAGACCCTGCCCTCTGCCTGTACTTTCATATTGTTTTACTGTGTTCTGGACATTTCAAGGTGTCAACCTTAGCGCAGCGCGTGAGGGCGGGACTGTTTAATAACATAGCGAGCAGGTTCCAGGAGCAGGAACAGGTCTGTGTCATGGCAGATCTGTGTCTGTACACACATGCACAACAGAGGCCACAGCGGACAGGATGAAGCGATGGAGCGTGGCTTTTGCTGCAAAATCCGGCAATGTTGCTCTTTCCTGCAGGGCTGTGAGGAGGTTGTGTTTATTTGTGCTGTTTATTTGTGAAACCATTAAAAAAAATCTAATTCACTGCTTTCTTCTAGCTAACCCTGCTCCCTCTCTTCATCACCCTTTAGGTCGCTAGACCAACGCTGCTCTCTCTCTCTCTCTCTCGCTTGTTGAGCCGAGGAGCAGGAGCCAACTTAGAAAATCCTACTCATTACGCCTTTAACTATCATTCTTTAGGAAATATTACAGTGACACGGACTGTTATGTTGTTTTGCAGGATAATGCTGAATTCTTGGCCATGGGCAACAGACTGAAGGAGTTCTTCGATGGAGAATTAAAGAAAGTGTTACACATCTGTTAAAAGACTTGACCGGTAAACAGTGTTCAGTTTTCAAACTCGGTAGCCACTGGGGAAGGTTAATATATTGTTATTGGGAATTACAGCCTTGTGGTATATCATATTTTGTGACATATCCCTTGTGTCTAGTTAAAACATCCCAAAAGAAATAATTGCTAATCAAGAGAAAGCAAGGGACTTTGACTTGAAATAAGTCAGACATGTAACCAGTTTGATTTCTGTACTGTTTGCACCACAAAATTTAATTTGGAAAATTAAGACGTTTTAACATATAGAGGACACACTCAATAAAAACTTGTTTATGGGTCTTGGGGAGAACTACTGCATATGTTCGAGCCTTTTGTTACTCCAGAGGGAGCTGCATGAAATCTGATAAATTGCCTCAATTTTATTTTACTACAATGAATTCATGAAATCAATTTCCATTTTTTGTTTTGTTTACTCACAAACGGTACAGTACAAACTACTAAAAACAACCCATGGATCTGTGTTTCTCTTCAGTATAAGAGTTTGTACAATGGAGCAAAAGTATTTTATATGAATTATAATATTTAATTTTTTTATTAGTAAAACATAATTTCCTGTATGTTGGTCCCAAAATGTATTTTATTGCCATATGTTTATCTGATGTTTCACCACGTGTTTCAGGAAGGTTTCAAAATGTATATATAATAAATGTATGTATATAAAAGTTCAAATCTATTTGCCTAAAGCATTTGCATTATGCAAAATTCCATTTCATCACACAGTATTTAAAGTGTGATTTAATTGTGCGCTCTCTTTCTGTCTCCCTCTGTTTGGTCTGTTTTTAAAAGAAAAGATTTTTTACAGTTTGTGTTAATCTTTCATGACACAAACCTTCCTCTTACAGGTTGAATCTACAGTACTGTGCAACAGTCTTAAGGTGGTGTGGAAAAGTACCAGTTATTATTTGAGCTACATCCATATAGCCTACAGTATTATGCTGGTGGGAAATGCTGTAAAGAAGCAAGAATATACAGCAGTTTACTTTATATTTCAGATTTAAATGAAAGGTTTGACTCTTCCTTTCTCTTCCACTGTGACTGATAAACAGCAGGAACATTAACATTTCAGTTATAGTGAGAAGGAGAAAGACTAAATAATGAGAGTCAGAAACATACAGATTAAATCCTGATAATATTAATAATAATAATTAATTTTGAAGCCCTATTGTTCAGTAAACATGTAGCCTACTGCCTGTGCGGTCAGCTGACGTCACTGTCACGGTTGCCAGCAGCAAATCTGTGCTGAGAGCTGCGCAGCCGCCCTGCGCATCCGTCGGCCGAGGTGGACAGCGCAGCCATTTCTCTGCCCCTCACGAAAAACATTCAGAGGGAGGTGGCGTTTGTCCATCACGCACATAACTGACCTGATGTGCGGGAGTCATGACTTTGGCGGCACGTACCCACGGCTGAACTGATCGCCGAATGAGATCCGCGATCTCCAAACTTTCTCCCAATTTAAGCCTGCGCAGACAAAACAGGCTCGCGCTCTCTGTCTCTCGCTCTCTCTCTCCGTTTCGGATGACACAGAAAAACTGTTTGTGTGTCAGCCATGGAGGGAAACCTTCAAGGAGGCAGCAGCGACGTCGCAATAATGCACGTGAAAACTGAAGCGGTCGATGAGAATACATCTGCGCTGGTTTTGGGCAGTCAGGAGTCGCCTGCGCCCTGCGGAGATACCGCATGCAGAGGAGGAGGAGGAGTGGATCAGACTGCAGAGGAGCTGGCTGACACACAGCTGCAAGCAGCCACGACAACCACTCCTGTACTGCTGTGTGAGTGCAGATTTGGGGTTTCTTTATAGTGCAAAATAAAATGAATGTAGCATTCGTGGGTTAATTTCCTATTTTAAATTGCCAACATAAAAATATTTCTCCATCATGTGGAAAATGTGCCTTTTGTGTGTCTCACCATCAGATCCTGTGAGTACAGACCGCTTCTTCACCACATCAGGGGATGCAAAAACTTACCTGAAGATAGCTCCAGGTGAGTGCGTCACTGTGAGAGGATCTTACTTATATACTATTGTGATTGTTGTTGGTGTGAGCTCTTATAACAGCTTCTATCATCAGAGTTAAATAAATCACAACATAGGCTACTCCATACACCAAGCACACCTGATTGACAGGTGCACAGGAGATTGAGGTCTTCTGTGTAAGAAATTAACTGTCACACGTGATCTCTGTTGTGTTAACAAACTTATTAGTGCAGAGTCTGTGGACAGACTTTGCAGTGAAAAAATTCTGCATGTACCTTAATTAGATCTCAAGCCCTTAAAGAAGGTTTCTCAACCTTTGCTGATGTGAATCTGCTGTTAGATCCCAAAAATAGCCTATCTTGTATTGCTTTGATAAAAACGCTTTGCAATGTGCAAATGCAAATGTGTCATCAGAGCTTTTATAAAAAGTAACAAGGTATAGCCTATATAAAGACAAAAACACCAAAACAGCTTACAAAGACTGAGAAAACAAAAGTAACACAAACATAAAATAATAAAATAAAAAAAAATAACAAACCCACCAGTCAGCTAAGAGTAAACCGGGTCCACAATAGGCACTATCAGTCAGGAAAGCAGTATATCACCCATGCCAGATAAAATTTACATAGAAAAGGTGCTCTATTTCTGGCCTATTTCATGTTAAAGCCCTTAAAAACGCAAACTCACCGATTAATTAATTTTTTGGTCTAATTATTTGATTAATTGCTGCAGCACTAATTATTTATAGTCAGAAGCTGGTTGGGAAAATACGTGTTCAGGGGCTTTAAATCAATATAGGCTAGCTCTCTTAAGCTGACGATAGACGGGGCAACTTTTTGAGCAATGTTGCCGAGCAGTATTTCTCAGTCACTTTCCCACAGAGAATGGGCAATGCATTTCTATCTCCACACTTTAGATCTGTCGTGGGCAATTTTTGAGACCATCCAATCAGAATGCTAGCAGACAATTACGTGACAGGCTTGGCGATTTCAGAAAAAAATCAAACAAGATGGCGGCACCCCAACGCCAGTGGAGTGAAGAAAAGGAGCGTCAACTTATATCTTTTTACGCCGGTAAGTTGTCATTTGTCTGTGTTTGAAATCACTGATCCCTCTCGTTTTGTATAAGGAGCTGCAAAGTCCGGCTATGGTTTGAACGGAGAGCGGCGGGGCGGGGCGGGGATGGCGGGGCGGGGCTTACGGTAGTTACCTTTACTCCCACACCGTGGGACACACGCAGGCCTAAATCAGTTGTGTGCTTTACGTGATATTTACTTAAGTAGGCTAAAAGAACTGTTGAAGCCAACATAATAGCCTATATTTATACAGTCCCGCACTCCCGCGATACACAAGTTTCAATGTCGATCTCTGCCGTGTCCGTCTCCCTGGCAATAGATTTGCGCCTCTGATCGGTTGTTGCCAACTGTCTGTTGCCCTAATTAGTTGCCCTGTGTCTCACCTGGTTGCCCATTGACGGCAAAATTGCCCAGCAACGTTGCACTAAAAGTTTCCCCGTGTATCATCAGCTTTACAGATCTCCTCCATACCCATCTACATGTGAAGCGACCCCACTTAGGCCTATTTTACTTTAAATCACAGTGAGCTGTGTCCTCCCCCAGCTTCAGCGATGCCACCTGCTCCTTCAGAGAAGACGCTTCCCTCTGGCTCCGATTTCTCCTCCAAAGCTGTGTTGTGTCTGATCGAGGCCGTTGGGCGCCGCTGGGGCCTGTACGAGACTCGGGAACGCTCACAGCTCTTCCAGAGTGTCCAGGAGGAGATGGCCTCCAAGGGCCACGTGCTTCCTGTCGAAAAGATCCGCCGAAAGTGGAACAACCTCATTGTCACATACAAGAGGGTTAAAGACCGCAGCCGGGAGACAGGACACGCTAAAACGTCCTGGGAGTTCTTTGATGTAAGTCTAACAGTAGGAAAATAAGTATTTCCTTCCTGCACTCTAAAGGGAAAAAACATCACTCATCACTTATTTTATATTATTACTATATAGGCCTACTTCCCCCTCGACCCTGTACGCAGGAAAAGCGGTTGACGATGGATGGAAGGACTATGTACTTCTTTCTACTCCCATTTCATGTCTCCATTCCCTTTTGTCAAAAGTGTCATAAATAAATAAATAAATATATACAGACTTACAGACTGTGTTTACAGCTCTAGATATATGTGAATGTCTCTGAGCATCTCCAGAAATATTTCACCTGAAATGTAATTGACTATTTGTTAAACCCTGCCCTCGAACAGCAAATGCCCAGTCATAGCATACTGAATCAGTGTACGCAGTGCTATAGTAAGAGCATTTTTTTATTGTTAAAACATGGGTTATAGTGCTTTTTAAAGGGTTTATGGTATGTGCAATTTCCCTCTGTGGAAAATCAGTATACTCTAGTTTCAAAAGCCCGGTCCTTGGCCAGTTAACAGCAGTAAGCAGCATATGGAGCCAAGTGTATGAATGGACTGACATCTGAATGGGTCTGTTCTTAGTGCTGAGAGACCAACTGATGATCACCTGATCTGGGTGCCACAAGTAACCTGGGCTGTTTTATTTCTCAATTTTCTCTCTTTGTGTCATGTCTTTTCTCACTCTAGTTGATGGACGCCACACTGTGTGACACTGTTGGAACTCAGATCACCAGCAACAAAAGAAACAAAGGCGGCAACACTGGTTCTACGCTGCCTGGTCCTTTGGCTAAGATCGCTGCAAAACCACAGGTTCCACAGCCCACCACCATCATCCGCCCTAAGGGGGACTTTGCTTCGACTGGTGCTGTGGAGTCAGCGGGTCAGGGGGTCATCAGCAGTCAAATCATCGGTAGCACTGCTGCCATCACCTCAATGACCACAGCGACCGTTAGCCCAACAAATGCTCCAGAGCTCAAGCCCCTGATCGTCCTCAACAGTGACATTGTTACAGCCGGTATTCATCCAGCCACTATCGTGCCATCTTCATCTTTTATCTCCTCGCCTTGTTTTACAGAGACAGCTTCCACATCCCCTTCCCTTGACTCGCCTAGTAACACAGAATTCAACACATCACGCTACGTAAGCCGAAAAGCTCCATTATTCTCATCAGGTGTCATACCCTTTCGCCTCAGCAATGCGCCACTTAGCAACAGTCAGAATCTCCTCGGCATCTCCTCCTCTTTCCCCCCTACTTCCTCCTCTCTCGCTTCTTCCATTTCCACCTCATTATCTGCAACAGCCATGTCGGGAACTGAAGGACAGACCCAGAAAGGAAACGAGGAGCAAACGAGCACCGCTTTGTTTCCGGAGGTTCTTAAGCGACAGGAGGAGCAAGCCCACCTGGATCGGGTGGCTCGCCGCAGGGTGGAAGCCAGAGAGAAGAGGCGCGAGAGGAGGGAGGTACGGATGGCGGAGTCCCTCGGCAGGATAGCCACAGCCCTGGAGCTGCTCTCCTCCAAACAGGACACAGTCATTGCCCTCCTGCAGAGACTGGCTGATCGGAAGTGATGCAGGGGCTGCATGTAGCGGCCCAGCCGGAGCTCCATAGTGCTGCTGAAAAGGGTTTTACCTCCCTGAATGTCATGTAAATAAACATTTATAAATTCCCATGAACCGCTCACTTTTCTAAATGAAGCTTAAGTGAAATAATAATATGCATTACAGTTTACTGCACTAACTTTCAATAAAATCATTCTCCTTGAACCTTCAGTTAATAAGATTTTCTCTGAGTAACACAAATGATATATTTTGTGACATCTCATTGCTGCTGTTTAGGGCATACAGTGATTGTTGTTAAAGAATCATTACCATGTTCACCAATCATTTACAGTAAAGACTATGTTAGCTCTAACATCTCATAATGAAGTGAGTAGGAATGATTGACAATGTTGCAGGACCTTTTCATACAGTGCCTTACACTGTGTAAATGTGCTTATCTTTTTAAAGGAAAGGTTCACATTATTTCAGGTCTGTCTTTACTGCCAGTACTGACATGCCCATATGTACATTTGAACAGCTTTTGGTTGATATAATAATTCCTCCTCTCCTTACTGGCCACAAATTAGAACCCCCCTTAATGTATGGGGGATGAAGCTATGCAGGAGCTAGTATGAGGCTTTAGCAGTCTTTGTTTGAAAAGTGAAGCGGATGAAGTTACAATGTTTTTAGTACAAAATCCCTCCCAAAATATTTGAAGATATACACTTCATTTGTGTGACACTGCCTTCTGAAGCCTCACATTAGCTTCAGCTGAACTCTTTTATGCATTTTCGCACACAAAACAAGGACTTTGGATTTTTGGCCTCATCACTTAAATATGAATGGGATCTCTTCACGGCCAGCATGGACATGAGGAACAATTACAGTAACCAATTTGCATATAGCCATGTGAGTATTGTTTGAAGATAGACTTGTAAAAAGAAGTGAACCGTGTTGATCCTTTAAGACAAAAGCTGTTGACACATGCGGTAGATACTGAACCCACTGTGGATCTCAGAGTTGGTTTAATGTAACTCTATCAAGAATTCTTCAAAATCAATAACTGGATTGGCCACTAGATGGCGCTTCTAATCTACTACTTGGTTTATGGTCAGTTGAAGTTTTACATAGTAGTGCAATGACATACATCTCAAATAGTTTCCTTGCTTTTCATTGCCCATGTGGCCCTTAGTGTTCTTAAAAGCACGGTCCGATTTATATATAAAGAATTAATTTCACTGCATTCAATGACGTCATCCACCAAGTTAATAATCTCCATATATATAATATCATGACACAGTAAAATACAGTATGTGACTTTCATGTCACAACCAATACAAAAGAATGGTTTGGTTGTTACGTTTTACCACCTTTAAAACTTTAAAATTATTGAATAAGTGTCCTGTCCTATATTTCCGCATACTTTAAGTTTCATTTGCCACGACAGCATCAGGAAATAAGCTCGGGAGAGGACCGATCTGACCAAATAAGAAACTTCACCAAGACCTGTCAGACGTGGCCTTCTGCACAGAAACACCATCGATATTAAACAGACAAGGTGGTCGCTGGGTCTGTTTCTGCTATGATCCCTGACAGCATGCCCGGTGCCGAGCAAGAGGATCCAGTGGAACGTAATTATGAAAAACTATTTTAGTTTGTTCTTTCTTTGTTGCTGCTCATGTCGACAAAAGCTTAAATTATTTAAAATAGCGGAAAACTGAGTGGTGATTTAGCAGCGGTCAAGCCAGCCCCGGGTTTAGTTTGCGGTGCGTGTATTTTCTTGTCACAGCAGATTTTTATTTTTTTTTTAAAGGTGAGCTGAGCTTCTGGTGAACACAATTTAACATTCAATCGGTGTGGCAGAAATGAAACTGAAATGAAATAAATTATTAAGACTACACCAGTATCTAAAAATTTTGAAATACTAACTTATCAATAAAAATGATATTAAAAAACAACATTGCCTACAAACCTAAACTTTGAAATCAAAAGATGTGTTGTTTCAGTTCTGTCAATGATGATTCAGACTTAAACAAATAAACTAATATGAATATTCTGATGTTGAATTTCAAAATAAAAGCCCTCCAACATTCCAGGCTAAAGCTATATTTTTTTTAAACCTCCCTTTGTATAATTTCTAAATTAAAGCCCTCGAAGATGTAAAGGTGTATTCTAACTCGATTGAGGCTGAACTGGAAAAAATCTCCTGTTTCCACTATCTCATTTCACTTCACAGTGAAAGCAGATTAACTCAGATTGACTATTATCAGAGCAATATGATGTAGTATTTCAAAATTAAAACCCTATAAAATGTCTTATATTTTCACTGAATACCACCTGAATTTTTCCACACTTCGCAGTTACAGCAGACCACCTTCTTTAATTGCTGCTTTCTTTCTTTTAACTGGATACGTTTTTTTTACGGTAATTGTTTGATATGTTAATGATGTGTGCTGCTACCTTCTTGGCACTTGTTTTCAACCTGGGTCTGCTAGGCCTGTAAGGCAGATCTGGAGGGAAACAATCATTACTGAACATGACCACAGTTACTATGTGTCATCCCTTAGATATAGATCTAACAAGCTCTGTAGTGAGCTGAGGAAACACTGTAATCATTTAAAAAAAACTCATCACTGAGTCCTCATCAGACTGTTTCCCCTGTGCAGGTAGAAGCCATATCAACACAACACATACAGGTGCTGGTCATATAATTAGAATATCATCAAAAAGTTGATTTATTTCAGTAATTCCATTCAAAAAGTGAAATTTGTATAATGTATACATTCATTCCACACAGACTGATATATTTCAAGTGTTCATTCCTTTTAATTTTGATGATTATAACTGACAACTAATGAAACCCCAAAATCAGTATCTCAGAAAATTAGAATATTGTGAAAAGGTTCAATATTGAAGACACCTGGTGCCACACTCTAATCAGCTAATTAACTAAAAACACCTGCAAAGGCCTTTAAATGGTCTCTCAGTCTAGTTCTGTAGGCTACACAATCAGTGCTTCAAGAACCACCACGCACAGACGTATGCAAGACATGGGTTTCAGCTGTTGCATTCCTTGTGTCAAGCCACTCTTGAACAAGACACAGCGTCAGAAGCGTCTCGCCTGGGCTAAAGACAAAAAGGACTGGACTGCTGCTGACTGGTCCAAAGTTATGTTCTCTGATGAAAGTAAATTTTGCATTTCCTTTGGAAATCAAGGTCCCAGAGTCTGGAGGAAGAGGAGAGGCACAGAATCCACGTTGCTTGAAGTCGAGTGTAAAGTTTCCACAGTCAGTGATGGTTTGGGGTGCCATGTCATCTGCTGGTGTTGGTCCACTGTGTTTTCTGAGGTCCAAGGTCAAAGCAGCCGTCTACCAGGAAGTTTTAGAGCACTTCATGCTTCCTGCTGCTGACCAACTTTATGAAGATGCAGATTTCATTTTCCAACAGGACTTGGCACCTGCACACAGTGCCAAAGCTACCAGTACCTGGTTTAAGGACCCTGTTCTTAATTGGCCAGCAAACTCGCCTGACCTTAACCCTATAGAAAATCTATGGGATATTGTGAAGAGGAAGATGCGATACGCCAGACCCAACAATGCAGAAGAGCTGAAGGCCACTATCAGAGCAACCTGGGCTCTCATAACACCTGAGCAGTGCCACAGACTGATCGACTCCATGCCACGCCGCATTGCTGCAGTAATTCAGGCAAAAGGAGCCCCAACTAAATATTGAGTGCTGTACATGCTCATACTTTTCATGTTCATACTTTTCAGTTGGCCAACATTTATAAAAATCCTTAAGTAATATACTAATTTTCGGAGATACTGAATTTGGGATTGTCACCAGTTGTCAGTTTTAATCATCATGATTAAATTAAATAAACATTTGAAATATATCAGTCTGTGTGTAATGAATGAATATAATATCCAAGTTTCACTTTTTGAATGGAATTACTGAAATAAATCAACTTTTTGATGATATTCTAATTATATGACCAGCACCTGTAAACAAAAACGAAATCAAGAGTCTTAAATGGCACATCAGAACTACACCTACTAGAGCTAAACGGATCTATCAGTGTATGTCGGCCGATAGGTAACATGAAATTGAAATGAAATTACTAGGCTTGAGGTCATTTAGAAAAGCGTCAAACATTTTGCTCTTGGTCAAAAATAAAAGGGGAAAAATAAATCTATGGCATTCGTATTTAAAAAATTATTTTTGTTATTTGTTTATGTTTTTAAAAATTACTACCAGCCAATGTATCAGATTTTTAAAAAAGCTAAATATGGAATTCAGTATCAACTTCAAATCTCCAGGGCTATAATATTGATGATCAAATATGAGAAATAAAAATAATTGTGGTCAAATTTAGAACAGAACAGAAAAAAAAGATTGTGTAGTAAAACATTTCCTATTTTTTTAATTCACAGAGCCGTTGAGGATCATGTTTCTTGGAAAGAGTGGGGTGGGCAAGAGCTCGAGTGGAAACACCATCTTCGGGCGACATGTGTTCAGTTCAGAAATGACGCTGGCTAGAGTCACCAGACACTGTGAAAAGGAGGTTGGGACGGTCAAGGATGTGCCGGTCGATATAACTGGGAAAGTCAAGGATGTGCCTGTCGCCGTGATCGACACACCCGGCTTTTTTGAGACTGACCGTAACAAGGAGGAAATTGAGCGAGAGATTCTGAAGTGTGTCAGACTCCAAGAACCAGGACCTCACGCCTTCGTGTATGTTATCTCTGTCGGAAGGATGACTCAGGAAGATCAAAATACCAACGCAGTGATCGAAGCAAAGTTTGGCCCGAGAGTGTGGGACTACACCATCGTCCTGTTCACCCATGGGGATCGTTTGGAGGGAAAAACAATAAATAATATCATCACTGTCAGTGACGACAACCTCCGCAACTTCATCCGCAAGTGCAGCGGCGGGTTCCACGTCTTCAACAACAAGGACCCGGAGGACCAGGTCCAGGTGACCAGCTTCATAGCAAAGATCCAGACCCTGGTGGCCCTGAATGGAGGGGGCCATTACCACACAGCCCTGTATCCTGAAGAGGAGAGGAAGATTAGGAAGAGACAGGAGAGCATCCTGGCAGAGAGAGATAAGGAGATCAGCAGCAAGGAGAGAGCGCTGCAGGAGCGTCACCAGGGAGAAGAGCTGGAGGAGAAGAAGAAGGAGCTGTGGAGGAAAGAGGAGTTCAACTCAAGACTGGCTGCAGAGAAGGAGATCAGGAGGTTCTCGAACATGTGGAATATTTTTAGATACATCCTAATCCTGGGAGGCATAGCACTGGCACTGATACCAGGTTTGTGGCCTCTAGTGGTAATCATCTATAGGACCCGAACATGGTAATAAATGGCAGCCTTACCATGCTTGGAAACTCACAAAACTTTGCACAAAATTCAAACGCGGTGAAAATGTATGTGTCATATGGTTGTCATACATGGGCGTGGCAAAATGGCTTGTTAGTGCCCCCTTAAGTGTAATTTATAGGCATACTTCTGCGTCAAATCTACGGCGTAGCCTCTGCGTAGCCCTGTCACCTACTCCATCACCTAGGCCGTTGCCTGACCTCCTCAAAAATGTAACTACACGTCGAAGCGACGCAGACCGTAAGCACTGTAAATGGTCGGCTGGGTAGCCTCGCAATGCCTCCGAGCCGACAGGAAGTGCCCAGTGCTTTGAAGTAACTTTTACTAGCAGCCAAAACATTGGCTGTAACACGGTGGATCAATATATTTGACAGTCACAACTCGAGCGAAATGACTCGTTTCACTATCAGAATGTGATCCATTCGGTCGATGGGGGTGTAATTGCAGAATGACGGAGACACCGACGCACAAGTATAAATGCATGGCTACGTGCGTCACCTACGGCGTAGATACGCACGTATCCTACGCAGGAGTATAAATCAAGCATTACATAGTGATGTTTTCAGATAAGGTGGGCTGGTGTGGTAATGACAGAGACACCATTCACCCTATTACAAGTCAGTTTTTAAAGTTGTTATTTTAAGATAAAAAAGTCTACATAATGTTGCTTTATCACATTTGTATCTACACTGGTCCCATGTAATAATGACCACGCATCATACAGATGTCTTTTGAAGATTTATTTTATCTCACTCTCCTTCCTTGGCAGACACCGTGAAAACTACAAGAAAATAAAAGACATAAAGCTTAGAACATTCCTTTTAAGGCTTGCCAAGCTAGTGTCCATTGATAAACAGGCCCAAACACTTTAGCACAAGCGAAATGCAATGAAATCATATATTACCAAACAAAAAGTATTGTCCATGTAAAGCCAACCAACAAGTACCATACACAAAAGTTAACAAATGAAAGGCAATTACCGTGTGCGCCTCTTGAACGAAGTACAGAATACGATTATTTTGGAGCTGTTTGTTGTTCCTCCGCATGTTCTGCTCTGCTTCCACATTGTCTCTTACCCATAATGCCATGGTTGTGCCCTTATCTTAACTCTGGTCATGTGACCCATTTCCCATTACTCTCTGTTGTTAGTTGAAATAAACCTTACATAAAAGTACAACATCCATCCACAACCATCCTCCAACATTATTTAAAATTACACATTTTAAGACACATTTTTGTGAATGTTACCCTTTTTAACATCTTACTTCACGTTTTACCTATTTTTAAATGGCTGTATGAACTCAACTTTTGATGAACTTACACATACAAATATACAAAATAAACATTTCAATTAAACATGTCCTTGAGACAGTTACAACATTGACGATGGTTTGTTTTTGTTTAACGGCACGTCCTCCGTGGTGTGCAGTTCGCCATGAAACAGGAAAGTATTGTACCTTTACTGCTCAAATCTCAACCAGCTGTCACGTGTTTGATAAGAGTCCCGCCCTGAAGATGTCTACATGTCGATATTCACTTATAGTCAAAGCACCACCTACTGTCAACAGGAAGTGGTCCTTGAACGAATCAGCCGTCGTGCCACATTTGACCGAGATGCACTTTGTGGCACATGCATTATCCCAAGAAATACAAAAAAGGCTCTTGGGCGTCAATGGCCGTGTCAATGGTGTGGCGTCAAAATTCTATGATTGGCCATGAAAAAGGAAGTTGTTATAACTTATGTGTACATGCTCAAATCTCCACCAAAGTTTTACATGTTGGATAACAGTCCTACATGCTAATATTCCCTCCAAATCATTGCCACCTACTGGAAACAGTATCTAAGCCCTGTATTATTTTCATCATTTGATTTACATAAAATTTTCACAGTGGTCCACACTTTACATACAAGGACATACCGTATCATTTGTGGGCCACATAGGGGACACACAATGTGACGTTTAAGTCCTTCACGAGTCGTCCAAAGTACATGATTATTCAGAGCTGCATCGACCACCTCCGGCAACTGCCATGGCCGCAACAATCCCCCGATTAATTATTAAATGCATCCCCTCAAACTTATGTTGATTAATGTAGAAAGGGGGAGCAACAGAAAGCTGCAGCATATGTACAATAGTATTAATGGGAGTACTCTTTAATACTTGTGTTCACAGATTCCAATGGTACATAATCAGCATAACTATAATACCTGCAGTGTGCTTCATGGAAAGTGACACGAGTAAATGTTTCTAGAAGGTCTTTTTTTCTCACCGGTGCCATGCTGTGGAAGTGCTGTCATTGCACACCCAGATGTTAAAAATGAGAGGGGCTTATAAAAGTTATGTCAGCACTTTTTTATAGAATAGGGTCGCAGAATAATCAAATTTTAATGATATTTTTATTTAAGCCATCAAATTGTGCCTGTTTTGATGTTGGTGTTACTTATTTAATTTCTGGTGGTTTTAATTTGGATTTCATGATTTTCTTATTTAGTTTTGTTTTACTGTATGTCATACCATACATTTGAATTATGAATACATAGAGCGTTGAGATTTAGAGAATTGTTTGTTCCTGTTTTTCAGTCCTCTGTCCTGAGACTACCACAATAATGAGGAGCTCAGGATTGTGATGGTGGGGAAGACTGGTGTTGGGAAAAGCGCCACAGGAAACACCATTCTGGGAAACCAGAGCTTTAAATCAGACGTATCAGCTGAATCTTTGACAACACACTGTGCTAAGGCCTTTGGTGAGGTTGATGGACAAAAGGTTGCTGTTATCGACACTCCAGGTCTGTTTGACACCAGGATTGATGAAGAGAAAACAATTAAAGATATTGCTCAGAGCATTTCTTATTCTTCTCCTGGACCCCATGTCTTCCTTGTCGTCATCAGACTGGGCAGATTCACAGAAGAAGAACAGAAGACAGTGCAGACGATTCAAGAAATCTTTGGAGAGGGAGCAGACAAATACAGCATGGTTCTCTTTACCCATGGCGATCTGCTCAAAGGGAAACCTATTGAGGAGTTCCTGCTGGGCAGCAAAGAACTGCAGGAACTTGTGGCCAAATGTTACGGCCAGTACCATGTCTTCAATAATGACATGAAGGATCGTACTCAGGTCAGGCAGCTGCTCACCAATATCAGAAATATAACAGAGAAGAACGGTGGAAGCTATTACACCACTGAAATGTTCCAGAAAGCAGAAAAGGCCATAGAAGAGAGGAAACAACAAATCCTCAAAGAGAAAGAAGAGCAAATACGCAAAGAGGAGGAGGAAATAAACAAGAAATTAAGCGAAAAGTTTGAGAAACTAATGATAGAGGTGAAAGCTGCCAGTGAGAGGGAGAAATTAAGGGAAGTTCGTGAAAGAGAAATTGAGGCGGAAAAAAAAAAACTCAAAGAAAGGCATGCCCGAGAGGCTAGAATGGAAGCTGAGAACAGCACTCCAATATACGACCTGTTAACTTCTGTAATTAATGGTATTAAAAAAGTAGTGGATCTTTTCTTGAATTAAACTCTTTGATTTTGTGATACTGGGCTGCAGCAGATTAACTAGCTGCTGTGACTTCATGATATTTACATTCCAGTTTTTGGTTTTCTCAGTGGGCCTGATTTGTAATAATAGCAGTTACTTAGTGCATTCTTTATTACATATTTGCATTTAATCTTGAATTCTGGATATTGGATTTAATGGATTTCTACATCTGTTATTGATACTTCCATAGTTGCACTATTTGATATATCATATGCCTTTTATATTTTTGCACTCTTTTTTTTTTTCAGGCAACAGCTGCACAACAATAATCCCCAAGATAAAATTACTCTTATCGCTTATCTTATTTTGTAATAGTAAGTCTGACAAGAAGTGTAACTGGAAAAAGATCATTATGTGGCCTACTGGAAATTTGAAAGATGTCATTGTTTTAGTTTTAAATTGTATATCATTTCTGTTTTCATTGTTTGACTTGATTTTCTTGATAATGATTTACCTAATAAAAGTTTTGTTTTGTTTTGTTTTGTTTGATGTCACTTCATGACAAATAAACCAAACGAATGTCACAGGTGTTAATTGTAATGGCAGAAAATTATTTCCTCTTATATTTAATCGTTTATTATTACTATTATTCTTTATGTCATATACTGTACCCTCCAAAAGTATTGGAACAGGAAGGCAAATTCCTTTGTTGTTTACTGAAGACATTTGGGTTTAAGATCAGATGAGTATGAGACAAGAGTTCAGAATTTCAGCTCGCATTTCCTGGTATTCACATCTAGATGTGTTAAACAACTTAGGACATATCACCGTTTGTATTAGACCACAGCATTCTTAGGTAACCCAGAATGTTATACAGGGGACTGTGTAAATGATTATGCATCCCTCCGCTCTGGGCTAGACGCGTCGAAGCTGCCCTAGGCGGCTTATAGTACTTTTCTCTTTATTCTCTTTTATTAACAAATTCTTCAAAGACAAGGGTTGGTTGTTACTCCATTATTTGCTTAATCCCTCACCAGTAATATACAATTTCCAAAACATTAATAATTGTGTGTGATGATTGATAAATGTTTAGTAATAGTGCCACAGATTGCCAAGAAAATGTTGATAATAAAACTGATAAATATAGTATATAGTAATTCTTTATTGACTCCATTCAGAGTTTGAGTCAATAAAGGGAACTTCTTGTGCAGTTTAATGTACCTGGAGTGTCAGAACGAACCAGGTGTTCTACAGGCTCCCCAACTGACTTCAAATTGTACAATGAAAAGACACTGTTGATGAAAGGTTGTACAGAATGTCAGTTTGTATATCTGTGAATCACAATGTTTGTATTGGTCTCTGCCTGGGGTTATTAATTAACTTTCAGCTTTTGGGTATAAGCAAGTTAGGGGCGTTGTGCTACACAAAAATTACACAACGTTGGCAAGCAAATTAACATTTTCTTATTCACGTGTACCAGGGACTATTAGGCATATTTACATACCGCAACAACAGACACACTTTATGTAACTGGCCACTGGCGAATCCAAAGAAGGTTAAAGTCAAGGGCAACTGGACTTGGTTGAAGATACTAGAAGACGTTTCGTCTCTCATCCAAGAGACTTCTTCAGTTCTGACTGACTGGTAGGGAAACTCAGCTTTTTAACCTATGTGGAGTCGTTTGCCAGGACTGTCGATACCGCTGGTTCGCTAATGCTCCTGGCTGTTTCCTGAGGCCAAGTCGGAATGACCATCGTTGGCATCTTTCCTTGAGGCCAAGAGGTTACATTTGTGAAGTTTCCTGGGAAGTGATGAAAGGACAGAATTGTAAGTGGGGGATAAGTGGTGGCGTAGGCCAGCTCCTCTGTTCAGCAACAACTTCTCAACCCGGGTGTAGATGGCTTCCTTGACACCACTATGACCTAGATGACTGAGAACCTTCCAGACATACGGCCCGAAGCAACCTCCATGTCACCCAGCACATAATCTAATATACACTGCTCAAAAAAATAAAGGGAACACTAAAATAACACATCCTAGATCTGAATGAATGAAATAATCTCATTAAATACTCCTTTCTTTACATAGTTGAAAGTGCTGACAACAAAATCACACAAAAAGTATCTATGGAAATCAAATTTATCAACCCATGGAGGTCTGGATTTGGAGTCACACTCAAAATCAATGTGGAAAACCACACTACAGGCCGATCCAACTTTGATGTAATGTCCTTAAAACAAGGCAAAATGAGGCTCAGTAGTGTTTGTGGCCTCCACGTGCCTGTTTGACCTCCCTATAACGCCTGGGCTCCTGATGAGGTGGCGGATGGTCTCCTGAGGGATCTCCTCCCAGACCTGGACTAAAGCATCCGCCAACTCCTGGACAGTCTGTGGTGCAACGTGGCGTTGGTGGATGGAGTGAGCCATGATGTCCCAGATGTGCTCAATTGGATTCAGGTCTGGTGAATAGCATCAATGCCTTCCTCTTGCAGGAACTGCTGACACACTCCAGCCACATGAGGTCTAGCATTGTCTTGCATTAGGAGGAACCCAGGGCCAACCGCACCAGCATATGGTCTCGCAAGGGGTCTGAGGATCTCATCTCGGTACCTAATGGCAGTCAGGCTACCTCTGGCGAGCACATGGAGGGCTGAGCGGCCCCCCAAAGAAATGCCACCCCACACCATTACTGACCCACCGCCAAACCGGTCATGCTGGAGGATGTTGCAGGCAGCAGAACGTTCTCCACGGCGTCTCCAGACTCTGTCACATGTGCTCAATGTGAACTGCTTTCATCTGTGAAGAGCACAGGGCGTCAGTGGCAAATTTGCCAATCTTGGTGTTCTCCGGCAAATGCCAAACGTCCTGCACGGTGTTGGGCTGTAAGCACAACCCCCACCTGTGGACGTCGGGCCCTCATACCACCCTCATGGAGTCTGTTTCTGACTGTTTGAGCAGACACATGCACATTTGTGGCCTGCTGGAGGTCATTTTGCAGGGCTCTGGCAGTGCTCTTCCTTGCACAAAGGCGGAGGTAGCGGTCCTGCTGCTGGGTTGTTGCCCTCCTACGGCCTCCTCCACGTCTCCTGATGTACTGGCCTGTCTCCTGGTAGCGCCTCCATGCTCTGGACATTACGCTGACAGACACAGCAAACCTTCTTGCCACAGCTCGCATTGATGTGCCATCCTGGATAAGCAGCACTACCTGAGCCACTTGTGTGGGTTGTAGACTCCGTCTCATGCTACCACTAGAGTGAAAGCACCGCCAGCATTCAAAAGTGACCAAAACATCAGCCAGGAAGCATAGGAACTGAGAAGTGGTCTGTGGTCACCACCTGCAGAACCACTCCTTTACTGGGGGTGTCTTGCTAATTGCCTATAATTTCCGCCTTTTGTCTATACCATTTGGACAGGAGTGTGATTGACTTGGAGTTACACTGTATTGTTAAAGTGTTCCCTTTATTTTTTTGAGCAGTGTATATGACAACAAAAGTAAATTACATGCATAGTGTATGGAAGTATCTAAAGAGTGAGCTATAGCATTTCCTTATCATCTTTCTTGAGTTTCACACGTGCTGTACCGATCACCGCCAATCAAGGCTCAAGACTTCCGACCTGCAACCTCTCCCCTCCTCTGTGTGTCTGCAGGACGCCTCCATACACACATAACTAAGTTACTGAAACAAAAACTGTAAGTTACTGAAACATACTAAAACAATACAATATATACTAAATAAGACGTTTTGAAAGCTTGAACATCGCCTTTGTCTCCTTTGTCCCAGATTGAATGTGCCCCAGCCTTGCCCCCTTAATAAAATTGGTCTAGAACCGCCACTGCCTTAGACTAGACCAGAGGCATAATGTGCCCTCACTCTGACACATTGTATTCTTCAATGTAACTTCCCCTATGGCCAATTAGCAACACTGCTTGACTGGCAGGGTGTGTTCTTGCAAAAATGTGAAGGCCACAGCCTTGGAGCATTAAAGAAGGCTGAGCAAAAACACTGCACCTTAAAGTTCAGTATATCTTTAAAGTTATCAATGATCAATATACATCTTAAACATTATCCTGGTATTTAGTAGTTATCATGCTAGACATATATCATATTCAAACATCATTCTAGTGAGACAAATATCAGCCCAGTTATGAAATAATTAACTAAAAGCTGTGACAACATTCTTTGGACTCAGTCTTGGAGCTGTTTAGCTACAGAATGTTTTGCTTCATCCATGCCTTTATCTCCTCCAGGCAGGTGGTCAGAGTAGATGATAGCAGCAGATTGGGTTGGGTTTATCCTGAGCTAAAGTTGATTGTCATCAGCATAGCAGTTAAGTGAAATTCCATGGCAGCTAATGACACGGCCAAGGAGGAGCTTGTAGTGGATAAATGGGGCTGAGCACTGAGCCTTGACAGACACCACAGTAGATGTTGTGAGTCAGGGATTTAGCCTCTCCCAAGGCAACATATTCAGTTCTCCTGGTGGTTTTGGACAGAGTCAGAGAGACCAATGGTGCAGACGGTGAAAGAAGATGTTGTGGTCCACAGTGTTGAACACTGCAGTCAAGTTCAGGAGGATGAGAAGAGATAGGGAGCCACGTCATCAGCAGGTAATTTGTGACCCTAACCAGAGCTGTTTCTGTGCTGTGACCAGGGCGGAAAACAGGCCGGAAAAGAAGTTGGATAGGACGGAGTGTATGATGTCTACTTTTTTCTGAAACAAGTGATAAAGTTGTTGCACCTCTCCTTTGTGGCTTCTGAATGAGAGTGAGTTTGCGGTTTGAGGATGTAATTTATAGTAAAAAATTGTTGTTGCCAGGGCTATCGTTGATGATCCCCTGTGAGGAATAGCGTGGGACCAGATGTGCAGCCTCTAGCTATTGTCATGGTCATGAATATGGTCCGATCTCTGCATTACATATTATTTACACCATTTAAACATATTTTTAGGGCCTAGAGATGGTTGACAAGTTTACATCCGCAGCAGAAGTCAAAGGCAAAATTTTTTATCTGATATGGGTATTTGGCTTGAGTGTGGCAAGGTGGCTTGATGGCGCCCCTCAAATAATTTCAACAAAGGTGCCCTTACATCTACGTTTCTCCTAGATGTACAACATTTTGGAGGTATGTGTAACACCTCCTGACTTAAAAAAATGAGTTTATTGGTGCCATACCCTACCACAAGAGGAAAGTCAGCCATTTTGAATTTATATTTTCAGGATTCACACTTTAACCACTAGGAGGTTATGCAGTTCAACTTGAACACAATCTGCCTCAAATTCCATATGTCTGATATAATTCCAGGCCTGAAGACACCAATGCTGAGTTACAGTCATAGCACCACTGGCAACAGGAATTTACATGTTATACTTTGACAAACTCCTCCTAGCAGATTAAGATCCATCGCACATCTGGCCAGCTAAATCTAAAGACCTTCATGATGCTATGTTGCAAAGCTTTGAATTTGTATGGAAATGTGTTGCCATGGCAAGATTGACAATATGCATGATTTGCAATGAAACAGGGAGCTGTTATAACTTGTCTATAGCCCACACTGTCCAATACGTAGCAAACGTTTCAGTGTAGTGGACAGTGGACACATGAAGTGATATTTAACTCTTTCATTCAACGTCCAATATTCATGAAAATGTATACATGTCAGACAACACATGTTTTTGCTAAATTTGATCGTCATAACTGTATGATTTTCTGTTGTGGATCTAATCTGAACACACAATATTGTATATGTCTCATTTGAATTGTCTGTCTAAGGACAGATTGTGTTGTATGCTGTATATTAAAGGTTTTTGCGAATTGCAATTTGTAATATTGGGTTATGTTAATAAAATTTACTTCACATGTAGCACCACATACTGGCAACAGGAATTAAAGCTTATAGTTCACATGTGCACAAACCTTCCAACACGTCTTCTTCACAGCCACATATTCCACACAGGAAACATTTTTTTTGCATTCAGGCTTTCTAAAAAAAATTGAACAGATGTATTTTGATTGAAGCATTGTAAGTAATTATTCTTATTCTGGTTATAATTCCTCAAGTCTATAATAGATATTCAATTAATTTAATGAAAAAACATTAACATTTTATTTATTGCTCTATTTTATGTCCTCATTAACTGCTGACGCCTCTTAACCAGCCAGAAGGGACTGTATGTAATCAACAATTGCAGCATCTGATTTATTGATTTATGTTGTAACAAATACAACACAGTATGCTTCTGAAATAAATTGCCTACCCCGGCTTTAATGCATTTCCAATGTTAGTGATGGGAGATGAAGCCCAGAGTATGAGACAGAGCATGGGCAGGAGGAACAATTACAGCAACTAATGTACATCCATGTGAGTAATGTTTTAACATAGGCTTGTGAAAAAAGTGAACCGTGTTGATCATTCAAGGCAAAAGCGGTGGTCCTGTTTGACTCTTACAGTAGATACTGAACCCTCTGAGGATCTCCCAGAGTTTATTTAACGGTAACTCTATCAGGACTTCTTCAAAATCAATAACTGGATTGGCCACTAGATGGCGCTTTTAATCTATTTAATTGGTTTATGGTCAGTTGAAGTTTTACAAAGTAGTGCAATGACATTCATCTAAGAGTTTCCTATTTTTTCACGGCCTTTTGTGTTTTTAAAGGTAATTCCAGTGTCAGCTTAATATATAATGAATTAATTTCACTGCAATGAATGAAGTCATCCACCAAGTTAGAAATCTCTACATATTATCATGACACACACGACACAGTGAGATACAGATACTGTATGTGACTTTCATTTGGATTCCACCAATAACAACCAGTAGGCTACATATGAATAGTTTAATTTTTACCATGACGCATGTTTTTTATACTTTAAATGAATACTGTTTCAAATATAGACGTTTTTATGTCCATGATGTTGCACTTTTATGCAATTATTTTCTTTCAGAACATTTTTCAGACCTTTTGATGATTCTTCAGTAGCTGATATAGTTAAAGTCATCTCTAACTCTCTCTCCTGTAGTAGAGCACAACAGCAGCCGGAGGGAAAGAGAAAGTGCAGCAGCAGTATGACAGAGTCCGGGGGAAGAAAAATAAAAAAGTGTTTGCTGTTCTCACTTCATTTTTCAAATAAAACAAAATTTATTAGATAAGGGTGGAGCGGAAGAAACATAACGATAGAGCCTACATTCATATTGTTTGTTATTATTATGTTTTTTGTTAAAAATGTTTGACACTGTCCTTCTTAATAGCCCATGTAATTGCAAATATATATATATATATGGCTATTTCCTTATTCTTAATAAAAACATAATAGGCTATATAACTTTTAGAACATCAAACAGTTAATGCGCGTTCGGATTAGATCTCGGCCGCCGTTTTTATGGTCTTCTGCAGCCGCTTGAGTGAATTTACCTTCGGTCATTGAAAACAGCCATTTCCGTATAACTCCGTGAATGTGTGACGTATCCACCTGATTTTTAAGATATGCTGAGGTAGTTTGGCATATCAGACTTGTGTGTCGTTCGTCCCGCGTTTCAGTCGTCCTGGCCCTACCGATCTGAACAAAGAACAAACTTCACCGAGACCGGTCAGACGTGACCTGTAGCAGATAAATCCTGGTTGATAACACAATAGCTGCATCTGTTTCTGCCATGATCCCTGACAGCATGCCTGGTGCCAAGCTAGAGGATCCGGAGGAACGTAAGTATGAAAAACTCTTAGTTTGTCTTTCTGTTTTCAGCTGCTCTTAACGAGAAATGCGCGAAGGATTCAATAAACCAAACTTTATTTGAAAGAATTTTCTTTTATTTATTTAATGGGACAACCCATCACTTTGTTACTCACCACTCACTTATTATAGCACATGATGAGTAGGTGATGGCAGATCTCGAATAAAAAGAAACATTGAGGGGTGATTTAGTAGAGTTAACGATACCTTTCCAAGACTGAAGCCTCTACCATGTAAGACAGCCCTACAGGCAAACTAAGTAGGCTGAAAGACATTACTCTAAATAAAGTCTTTGCTTTCTACATTAGAACAATGAGGGTCACCTCGTGTTTCCGTTACACAGCAAACACGTTTTGGCGTTTCATTTTCTCTTTGCTGACATCACTCTGTTTTTCTTTGCATACTGAAACAGTTAAGTAAATAAGGAGCCATAGGAACCATAGGAGCCCCCCTCTGCAGATCAAATGTAGACTTCACACTGTAACATATTCAGATGATCACTGGATTGATCCTGTTGTTGAAAAGAGCATTGCTTTCTTTTGTTCTTTCACATTGATAGGCTACTAAGCTATTTGTTTTATCGATGCCCGAGGGTGAGTCCGTTAAACAGAATATCGCCGGTGAAACTTAATCTTGGTTTTCACTCAGCAGATACCAGCTGTTATTTATTCAGGAAGCAATCATTTTTTAGATGCACACAGAGAGAGAGAAAATATTGGTGGAAAGAACAGTCGGGCTTTACGCATGACGCAGAGCTTCCTCTGTATGTAGGTTTACCCTGCTTGAACAACAAGCTACTCTCATCCAACGAAGGTTAAAAATCAAGGGCAACTGGACTTGGTTGAAGATACTGATAATTCTGACTGACTGGCAGGAGCTGAGTTTCCCTGCCAGTCAGTCAGAACTGAAGAAGTCCTTTGGATGAGGGAGGAAACGTCTTCCAGTATCTTCAACCAAGTCCAGTTGCCCTTGATTTTTAACCTTAGTAATCAAAGTAATCTCATTTTTGGGGACCTAAACATGCTTGAAAACTCATCAAACTTTGCAAAATTTCGTATTTTATGGCTCGGTAGCGCCCCCTACAGAGCATCAGGGAAATGGGCCATTTGATGAATTTGAAATGTGATTTATCTATGGACAAGGTGTCCATATTTGGAACCTGTACACACAGCCCTCTGTTATTATCAGAAAAAAGCTTGGATTTAAAAAAGTACAAATATATTTGTTATTACATTTTTTATCATGGATTCATTAATTACAAGATTGGGTAAGGTTGGTAGAGGTCTTATTCTCGCATACAGTAATGTGTTTTGGATTAGCTGTAGTAATGGTAGTGGTATTGCTTTACATATTTTTTTATATTCTTTCTGAGTGCAGTTTAGATTATATTTGTGCAGAAAAGCAGTATGTTCTAAAAAGTTACCATTATCGTCTAATATATCATCCACAAACACAATGCCCTTCTCTTACCAATCAATCTTAAATAATGATTTCCTATTTATTGTAATGACCCTGTTATTCCATAGGGTGGAACCATGGGGAAAAAATTGGGGGTAAATATAATTTTTAAGTAAGGAAGAAGTTGTTTGTGGAATTGTGAAAGTTTAACAGTAATCTTGGTCACCTCAAAATCACATTTTAAGAAGAAATCAAGCCCACCTATTTTTTTAAATAAAGATCTGGGTATGTGAAACCCACATAGAGTCTGGTTGTGATAAATATGTTTTCAACCAATTAATCTTAAGGGTCCCAAACATTGCTTCAAAGTCCAAGGCTTTGATACCACCTTTTTCATACTCTTTGACAAGCTGTGATTTCCTAATATAATGGGTTTTATTTTTCCAAAGGAATTGGAAAATAATTGAATAGATTTTTTTTAACATTAATAGAAGAAACATATAGGGAGTAACAAGGGTAAATTACACTGGAAATGCCAATTGTTTTAGATAGCATAACTCTACCAAAGATAGTGAGGTCTCTGGTTAACCAACGACTCAGTGCCTTTTTCATATCGATTAAACGGTCAGAAAAATCTTCCCTCCTGATAGCATTTTTAGATAAGACTATTCCTAAATATTTTACTTCAGTCTTAACCTTTATCGAAGCAATACTGGAATCCTTAGATGAATGAATGGGAAATTTCTCACATTTGAGTATTAAGAGACAGTCCTGAAGCTTTAGAGAATATCGAGACCGTACTGAGAGCAATATCCACCATAGATTTATTCCTTAAAAAGATTACTGTGTCATCCGCAAATTGACTAATTTTAAATTCCTTATCTAAGACTGAAATACCATGCAGAGCGGGATTGTTATTTATGAGCATGATAAATAATTGGGTGGCTAAAATAAATAATTTTGGCGAATTGTCTAATGCCACGTAGTACCTCGAATCTAGGGGTTATACCAGGATTTAAAGACACTGAACTAAATATGCCATTATATAACAACTTAATAATTTGACAAAAGTTGTTTCCAAAACCTAAAAAATGTAGCACTTCAAATAGAAAGGCATGTTCGATAGTCAAGAAATAAAACAAAGGCTTCAGAATCAATATGGTCTCGATAATCAAGCATGTCTAGTAACAACCTAGTGTGGTTATGTATGTTTCGACCCCTTATGAAGGCTGATTGACACTCATCAATTATATGTGACAATCCCTCGTTCAGCCGATTAGCATAAACCATAAGTGCCAATAGTTTATAATCATTACATAATAAGGTAAGTGGTCTCCAATTGTCCAGTAAAAGGTTATCTTTATTAGGCTTGGGTATCAGAGTGATGAGACCATGTTTCATAGGAGAAAGACTTCCATTTGATATGCAGTTTAAGAAGGCATTGTGCAGCAGTTCCCTGATATCGTTCCAGAAGAAAGTAAAAAATTCTAATGTTATCCCATCTATTCCAGGTGACTTTCCTTTAGACATCTGTTGAACAGCTTTATCTAATTCATCAATTCTTAGTACTTCTTCCACAAGTTATTTAAAGTTATCATCCATTTTCTTTTGGAAACCTCAGATTTCTTCTAATAAAAACCAACAATCTTCCGGAGAAAAAAGGGATTTATAGAGATTACTGTAAAAGGCTTTGATTTTCTCATCTACTTTGTCAGTTTGGTTGTCAATAATAACATCATTGATAATAAGTTTCTGAATTTTCTTTTTGGTCTGTCTTTGTATTTCCAATCTGAAGAAATATGAGGAGTTTTTTTCCCCTTCTTCCATCCAACAAGCCCTTGAACAAATAAATGCCCCCTTGGCTTTCTCCATATATATATATAATGTCAAGTTGGGATTGAAGGTGGTTTAGTTCTGCATGTTCTTCCACTGATAAATCAACTTTACAACACAGTTTGTTAATGTTACTAAATGATGTCTCTCTGTCTTATCTTTTTGAGTTTAGATGATTGCTTACTTGTCCTAATTGCTTTCTGCTTCACTTTAAATTTGAGCCATTCCCATTTGCTCACAAAAGATATATCCAGTTCGTTTACTTCCTTAATCAACTGTCTGACCTCCTTACAAAACTCTGTATCTTCCAATAGGCTATTATTGAATTTCCATATGGGGTTTATATTAGTCTTGTTCCCCCCCAGATCAAAGATATTATACAATGATCCGTTAAGGGTGATGAAGAGATTTCACATCTATCTACTTCATTAACCAAATTGTTTGAAATTAGCCAGTAGTCTAGTCTTGTGCACTGGCCATTGTTGGATGCATTGAACCAGGTAAATTGCTTTTTTGAGGGGGTTTTCATTCTCCAATAGTCAATTAGATTAGCCTTTGTAGTCAGTTCAATTATTGTTTCATCAAATGTGTGGAATTGTCTCCTCGATGGTCGCCGATCCAACCAAAGATCAGGGGCCAGGTTAAAATCACCCCCAATTATTACTTTATCAGTTGAATAAAGCATTTTCCAGTCCTCTAGGCTTTTACCTAAGGATGAGTAGTAGTAACTAAGGTTTAGTAGCCTAGTTAAAGTGTGATATTCACATAACCGAACCATGGAACAAAACACCTCAGTCAGGTTAGTGTAGGCTGAAATGATTTATTCAGGGACTACATTTCGGTTATCAATCAGGGCGAATCCCTCTTTCAATAATGGTCTTTTACCTCTTTTTTTCTGGCTTCTTGAACTAATGGTCACAGTTTTGTAGGCGTCTCATGGTCTTCCATGAGAAGTCCTCTTTGAAACGTATGTGCATGTCTTTACACACCCTTGCATCTTTCGACTTCTTCCAAACTTCATCCCGCACTGTTCTCATTTCAAACTGAATGATGATCGCTCTCGGTGTGACATTTGAGGTAACGCCGTCCCCTCTTCTTCCCAGCCGGTGAACAGTGTCAACTGTGTCTCGCAGCTGCTCCACAGACATTGGGACAACTCTAGTAAGTATCCCGAGAATGACTTCTCTCGTGTCCTCTCCGTCCTTTTCTGGGAGATCAATAACCTTCAGGTTCCACCTTCTTTTGTATCAGGTTTGCTCTTGTCTTTGTTAATTTTGGCTTCCTTGGCGGAAAGACCAACCGCCCCTAATTCTTCATTGATGTCGATATCATCACATGCCTCGTGGAGCATCTCCAAGTTGTAGTTGTGGTCCAACATGGTTGCAAAAAGAACAAGTAACAAGTTCCCAAAATGCTGTGGTATCCTACTTTTGTCACTGCAGTATTGGCACTTACTTGAGCAGCCTTTAAATTGAGGGTTATTGCATTGGTAAATCACATTTCAAGGACTAATTAACAAATTTTAATCGGAGCCTGCCGAAGTGTTGCCACTCACTCCGCCATCTTGAAACCCCTCTTGAGGGTGAGAAGTGTCCACCGTTCCACACCAAGCGGGAAGCTTCCGGTCTACAATATGAAGTTGATGCGGAAGTACCTGAAACCTGCATTCTATTGAAAATCCAGCAGGGGGCGACTCTTCTGGTTGCAAAAACAAGTCCGGCTCCATTAGAAATAATGGGAA